GGCATTTCATTCTATGTAATCACAAATCCTAGGAAGAATCATGTAAACATCTAGAAATATATATTATTCAGAGATCACAATGAAAATGTGATCCTGAAAGTAAAAGCCCCTCCTCCAATCCAATCATGCATGTTGATCCAAACCTTCATTGAAGATCAAGCCATTTGAACCCGGATGCCCTTCAAGAAGAACAAACTATATATACAAGCCCTTCTTTGAAGATCAAGCCACTTGAAACCCGGAGGCCCTTCAATGGTGGAGTGTTCAAGGCATCCAATTGAAGAATCAGAGGACATCCCATAGACTTGTACTCACACCGCATTGATACTTGATATGTAACCCAGAATTTTGAATATTACTAAATTTTATTCAATTTTCTTTGTTCACAAATTGGCACGCCCAGTGGGACAGCTCTGCCTCTCAACTCTTCATAGGCACTTTCAACCGGTATGGGGGCAAACCCCATATGAAATTTGAAATGGAGGAGGCTAAATGATACTCCTTGGCACGAGTTAAAACGGCCTCATATCTTTCAAGGCTCCTTGGCACGAGTTGAAACGGCCTTATATCTTTAAGTTGTAGTGTCGAGACTTTCTTGCACTACATACTTTCAAGTGTTATATGCTCTCAAGTGGTGTACAAGCAAGTCTCGAGGGGGCATTTGTAGACACTTAAATTTTGATAAATATTGATTATTTATCAATATTAGTATATTTGAATATATTTGAAATATTTTGGATAATATTGATATTATCTAATTTGTTAATTAGATAATATCAAAAGAGTTTGAGCTTATCAAAACTCTCTATCCTACAGCTATAAATAGGGCCTTTCATTCTATGTAATCACAAATCCTAGGAAGAATCATGTAAACATCTAGAAATATATATTATTCAGAGATCACAATGAAAATGGGATCCTGAAAGTAAAAGCCCCTCCTCCAATCCAATCATGCATGTTGATCCACTCCTCCAATCCAATCATGCATGTTGATCCAAACCTTCATTGAAGATCAAGCCATTTGAACCCGGAGGCCCTTCAAGAAGAACAAGCTATATATACAAGCCCTTCTTTGAAGATCAAGCCACTTGAAACCCGGAGGCCCTTCAATGGTGGAGTGTTCAAGGCATCCAATTGAAGAATCAGAGGACATCCCAGAGACTTGTACTCACACCGCATTGATACTTGATATGTAACCCAGAATTTTGAATATTACTAAATTTTATTCAATTTTCTTTGTTCACATACACCATTGGTGTGTTTCACTGTGGTGTGTTTTATTACACTATTGGTGCATGTTGTCAACACTGTTGGTGTATTATGTAACCCGCCCGCTATAAATGGTCATTGTAATTACCATAACACCCCCACTTACCAAAACGCGCAAAAATCCTCAGAATTACCACTGCCGTTAGATTAAACTGATTCAACGACACAAATACGACCATACTGCCACACCTAATGACATGACCACATATGAGCGCTCTTTTATATATATATATATATATATATATATATATATATATATATATATATATATATATATATATATCATAAGTTAGGCATATATAGTATATAGTAATGTATACACTATACCAATAGTGTATTGAAAAATGACTTACCTCCCCCCCCCTCCCCCCCCCCCCAAAAAAAAGTCATTTTTCTTCAAAACATACCTATTTTCCTTTGACTAAGACATCATTTTTCATTGACCTTATTTTCTCCCCTCTTGCCAAACACTGAAAACTCGGAAAATATTTTTCGAAAGTCATTTTCCGAATTTTCAAAGGCACCCTAAAATGCATTTGTAGGAAATTGGTTTTTCCTTTCACTTCTGCCACAAAAAAAAAAAAAAAAAAACAAAAAACAAAAAAACAAAAAACAAAAAACAAAAAAACAAAAAAAAAACAAAAAAAAAAACAAAACAAAACAAAAAAAAAAGATAAACAAAAAAAAACAAAAAACAAAAAAAAACAAAAAAAAACAACAAATAACAAATAACAAATGCTGGTGCGCATTAATAATAATAATAATAATAATAATAATAATAATAATAATAATAATTATTATTATTATTATTATTATTATTATTATTTAACTATATTTTTTCTTAAGAGACCCTGGTATTAGGTTATTTTTTTTTATGTTTATACTATACTGCGTGTGTAGTAGTAGTAGTATAAGAAAAAATAAATAAATAAATAATATATTTTGTTATTATTATATTAATTAATATATAAAGGGTAATTTTATCTTTTGAATGTTATTACATTTCTATTTCATTTCTAACCAAATGTAATAAAATAACAAAAAAAATTCAATACACTGATTATGAATTTTTCTAATAATTCAAAAAAAATAAACATTCTTTAGCGCACTACAGCGTACCACCCATTCCAAATTCCGAAACAGGTCGGTAGAGCGATCATAATCTTAATTATTGATTTCTTCGAGACGTAAAGAATTAAACTTACTCGTAATTGACCCCATCCCATATGGTTTAACTAATAATTAACATTGAATTTGGAGATTTTAAGGTCTTAGAAGTTGTTAATTGTACTGCGGATGTTGTGCAAATGCATCACCACTTCATGTGAACCTGCCTTCTTAGATTAGCGACAGCTGGCGCTATTTTCACCCAAAAAGAAAAATGTTTAGATGTTTTTACTTTTTACTAACCGAGGGCTAACATGTAATTTTAAAAGAAATAACAAAAATTTAGAAGATTAAAATTGTGAAAATCAAATAATATAGTGTGGTAAAATTAAAAGAGTATGACTAAGTGATTTTAATATGTGACAATATCATATATAATAGTCGATAACTAAAAGTAAAAAATTTGCACATTATCCTCTAATATTATTATTCTGTAATTTTCTTAATTATTTATTATTAACCTACATTAATAAGTCCTAAAAAATTAAATTCGTGATGAGTCAGGTTGAATTTGAGTTTTATGTGCAAAACTCACCTAAACCCCCATTGGACCCACCATGTGTGTGGGTGTGTAAGTACTAATACGTAGTTAATTATAATTTCTTTTAATAACTTTTGCTAACTTTTTGCTATTTTTATTTATAAACTAATAAGTTTATTTTAAAAATTAATACTTTAGTTATTATATTTAAATCTTTCTATTATTTTATGTTTTAATACAACTAGTGAATTTTATTATTTTATTATGTGTAAGTAATTTAAATATTACTTAAATTCTTTTATAAAATAAAAAGTGAAGTGAACACCCGCACCTGGTGGGGTGAGGGGTGGATTTTGACGAAATTAACCTGATACGGGTCGAGAGTGAGAGTGAATGGGGTGACACATACTTATTCCATGTGGTACAAGAAATATTTAAAGAAAAATATTAAGATCCTAATAAAGTATGACTTCCACTACTTGGCTTGCATTGAGGGAGTGAAATGGATAGAAAAATTGAAAAATAAAAGAAAAATGATTATTACCCTACATTTTCACTCATAGCATCCTTCTCGATTATACTAAGTTAAAATGATACAGTAAACTAAAATTATTGAATAGTCAAAATATTTTTATTAGTAAAAAGTATTTCTAACTCAGAGAAGTAGAAAAAATATCATAAAAAATGAACGATAGTCTTGTTCAAATGTAAATACACATTAAACTGCTATATTTATTTTCATTTTCTAAAATTAAATAAAAATACAAGGTTAATTATCCAGTTATGATTTCATTCAAGTGCTAACTTAAATATAAATTTAATTTCATTTTAAATTGAGGGTGGAGATATAATAGATTATTAGTGTAATTATGAATAATGATTAATAGGCCACATGCATGATAAAAGCAATCATATCATCAAAGGGGAAACCTTGTGCTAACTCCTTTTGGTAAAAAAAAAAAAAATTGTTTATACAATAATGTCTTAGGCACAAGTAAATTATATTGATATAAATAAATAATTCAAAATAAATGCAAGGGATTCAATATAATAATAACTAAGAGAAGATGTGATGAATGTAATAAGTAGATAAAGGCAAGAGTGAGTTAAGGGGTGGCGGTAAGAGTATATAAATAAAAGTTTGCGTATAATGAAAATGACAATTATAAATATAATTATGTGTGTTTTTGTATTTTGAAAGTTTGGAGAACACACCAACAAAAAAATAAAATAAAATAAAAAAAAATAATAAAAAAAAAGGTATTTGAAAACTTTTTTTTAAAAAAAAAAAAAAAAAGAAGATTATGTAAGTAAGCATGTTTCTTTTTTTTCTTTTTTAATAAAAGTAAGCATGTTTCTTGTTTTTTTTCTTCAATTTGTATAAAATTAATTCTATAATTAGTAAAAGACTAAAAGGGTTATTAGAATTTCTCAAGTTATTAAAAACGTTGTCAAATATTTTTTTTTTTTTTTAAAGGACAGGATATTCAGCAAGAAAAACAAAGAAAGGAATTGTAGTAGGCTAGTAGCAGTTAAAAAAACAGTCCATATCTATTATAGATTTATAGGTAAGAAAAGTTGTAAAATCCATTCTTTAATAAATAAATTATATATATATATATATATATATATATATATATATATATATATATTGAATGCTACTAACTCTATTATAATGTAGTATCTGTTTTGAGGAACGAACTCACAACCTCCCATATAAGAGTCCAATTCGGGTTTCATCTGTGCACAAGTTGCTTGACATACTCGTAGTATATATGATATGGAAATTGGCAGCTTTTAAAATATGACACAATATCGACTCTGACATACCGTCGCAATACGAGAATGTGAGATACTAAGTCACTGTGATTTACCATTATCTTGTCGAGTTGGGGTGTGAGACTGCGAGGACAACAAAATTTTACCTTCTATGAGTAAAGTGTGAAAAAATTAAGTGATGAGCCATTGAACTATTTGAGAAACAACAATTAAGCCACCAAATTGAAATAATTCTCAAATAAGTTATTCAACTCAAAAAAAAAAAAGAACAATTAACATTTTTAACAGTTAACTACAAATTTTTGTTGACTGGATTGCGTGAGTCTTATCCATCTTCCTGTACTATCTGCTTGAAGTGTTAGGTGGTGATAATGGGGGGTACTTTTTCTTGGACAAACAAAAGTGTTGACCACTGGTGTTGCCATTTTCATGCCTGTACTACTGTATGTTGTCCGGCCCTGTTGGCCTTAGCTTGGTTTTGTGGTCTTAATTGCTTGTTTTTCATATAAATTTGCACCCAAATTTAATGCCATGTGGTGACCTCTCAGCTCTGCTCTTCACATGGCTTCCCAGTTTTCCATGTCTACTGTATAGAGAGAACTATAAGACTCAGTTTCTCAAGGAGAACAGTGCAATTAGGTTGGGAAATGTGAGTGACGAGTGGATTCTTTCAATTTAATCTGTTGCCTATTTCTGGAAACCCCCCATGAATCTCCACAACCCATTTATCCCCACCCAGTTTCTTTCATAGATCATAAAACCAGAGATGGCTTCTTCTTCTTCATCTTCTTCATCATCTTCTTCTTCTTTTTCTGTGTTTCTCCCAAGAAACATACAATCTTGGATGGCTGTTCTTGTCCCACCTGCAGCTTCCTTGTTTTTTGCTATGGTTTCAGGCCATAGTGTTGTGTCCATTTCCATCACATCTTTGGCTCTGCTCATCTCCATCATGGCACTCAAACCCATCCAAAACCCAGGAGAAATCAAAATCGGCAGCTCAGAAATCAAGAAAGTTGCAGAAGAAGAAGAAGAAGAACAGAAGGGGTACTCTCATGACCCATCATCATCTTCGAGTGAAGATTATTCAGACATTGACAGCACAGCGCAGGGCTCAGATGATGGATCCATCTCTGATGATGATGATGAGGAAAGCCTGTTTGAGATATCCCTTCTTCTTCCCTATAGCGGAGACTTTGTTGTTGGCCATGAAAAGGAAAGCTCCAAGGATTTATGTTTGATGGAATTCTTGACAGACATGAATGAGGAAGAAGACAACATGATTGAGATCGACATATCCATGGGATCCATCAAGTGCTCTGGATTTTAGATTCAGGCATTATATATATATATATAAATATATATATATATATATATATATATATATATATATATATATATATATATTATCCTGTTTTTTTTTTTTTTTTTGAATTGATGTTTTTTTTTTTTCACTGTTCAAAGTTTTTTTTTTTTTTTTTTTTTATCCTAGTGGATTTCTGCCACTCTAGAAATTGGACAGTACTTTTCAGTTTTACCATTGGTGAGCTAAACTGATTAGCTACAGTGATGGGCCAGCATGTATGGTATATATAGTTAGTTGAATTGGCAATTTTTTTTTTTTAGTAAAAACTTGTTTGAATCTACTCATCCAAGATGAAAATGTAATATTCAACCGGTCTTTTTTTTATGTGTTGGGTTCGATTAACAAGGTTTAACTGAAGTTATTTACAAATTAATTTTTCATAATATTAAGTTTAAATTAATATGTCATTTTTATATATTTAGAAATTATATTAAAATAATATTAAACACAAAATATTAAATTTAAAAATTAAAAAAAATGCTAATAGAAATAAGCAAAGTATAAATGATTGATTTAACAAAAGAGAACAGATAAAATGAGATAAAGGAAGTACTAATAAGAAATAATCTACATTTTTCAATTTTGTTGGACTGATTTTTAGAACATGCATGTCTTAAGATTCATGGGGAGATATATTTTCAAAGACTCAAGTATTAAACTAAACATTTTTGTGAATAAAAAGTCAAACTTGTTAAACTAGACTTATTCCAACCATTATCCCACTTTCTAAGTAAGTGGACTATAAAGTGACAGTTCAAATTTATTTTTGTTTAATTTTATAAGTCATGTAGCTTGCAAGCTTTCTTAATTAGTCGTCATCTTGACCACCTCTAATCCGTTGAGGCCACCAAGATGCTAAACTATCGAGCATATATGGTTTGTTGGACTTAGTATTCAAGTTATTGTAGCTGTTAAAGTATGTAGTATATAATTTATTATAAAATCATATCCCACTTGTTGTCCAATTAAGACTTAGGGTTATGATATACGGATCTAAATTAATGATCTGTCAAATATGGTTTAAAAGTTATAAGATATTTAGATTTAGATTACCCAATCTAATAGTCCAATTTGCTAGGGCGGGGAGACACCAAATTAGCAATATATACATGGGATACACATGACAAATTATACATGGAACAAATTAATAATTATATCTTATGTTATGAATTTATGTCTTGTATTGTGAAATTCTGTACTTATGAACACAAATTATATATATACCTAAATCAAATTTGAAAAATAAGTAAATATATAACATGTGTATGCATGTGTCTTGTATTATGAAATTTTGTACCTTACGAGTATGAAATATGTACCTCGTCTTTTCAATCCAACTAGGTCCATAATGTTATGCTAATATGTGTCTTGTGTTGTAATTTTATGGGCTTTGTGTTATTAAATTTTGTACCTTAGAGGTATGAATTTGGTACCCCGTTGTTTCAATTCAGGGTCCTACTATGTGGACCCTGATCCATGATATAAATTACCCTCCTCATCAGTCGTCTAAACTACACAATAAAATTACTCAAAATATATAAATATAGAAAGTCTCGATTGACACTCAAATAGATATGCAATTTTTTCATGCATTCTTTAACTATTACTCTCTCTAATTGTATCCAAACATAACACACTTGTGTTTTGAGCACACTACATAATATAACACGGATGATAAACTTTGTGACAAAAGGTGGAACAAATTAAAGTAGTTTCAGGACATGATTAATTCAAAGTCAAAGTAGTCTTAGACTCTTAGCTCAAAGCATGTTCTTCCATTCAGGATTGCAATACAAATAAGTGTTCTTAGCAGAAAAGCCTGTGGTCGTAGGAACAGCAGAAAATCCGGTGTATTTTTTGTCCTTCTTGGCTAAGCATATTTGGGCAATGTTCTTAAACAGATCGCGTTTCTGCACGAACGGTTGCGCCGCATATTCGTCTATGCCCATCCACTGTAAAACATAAGACATAATCCAAATTAATGTTCCCAAATTTCTTGGTTTTTGCCATCATGGAATTCTTTGTAAGATTTTCCCTAATAATATATATTATATATTATATATTAGGGCCTTAATTAAGTGGTGCAAGTTGACTAGGCTTATTAAGTGGTCTGGTTGGACTTAATAACTAGTAATTGTTAGTCAACCAAACTCTTTGTCTAATATAACCTGGATTGATGGGATACAGGATTATGGATTAGACAGCACATTCAGTTACGGTACTCAGACCGCTCAGTAGACACCAATACACCATCTAGGGTTCTGAGTCAGGTCTGAGGCAAAACATGGCTAACGGTCTACCGTTAAGAGGCAACACAACAGGAACATCAACTATGGCTGGAGATCAACACGGCTACGCTTCCGCTATCATACGAGGTTAGGTTTCTCGTATACTATAGTTCAGTATAGTTAGATTATTGTATATCTAACATTTGGTATCAGAGCCATTTATAATCTTTGCCTGGTTGATTGTTTTGCCTGGTTGATTGTTTTATGCATTCGATCACATTAAGTACATAATATTAAGTTTAATTATGTAATTAGGGTTTATGAGATTTTAATTTACAAATGCTAGCATATCCTTTTGGTTTGATATTGTTTAAAATTGTAAATTCAGTTATATCTCATGAATTTGATCTTTATGCATTAAAACATTTTATCATGGGCTTACAGTTTAAAATTTTAAAGTATGTATCCAGTACATTATTATTCAAAATGTTGGGTCTCTTTTGGTTTGGACTCATCGGTGTTTGGATATTAAGTTTATACTTTAAAATCTCATATTGTAAATTGCTTTAAGTTATGCAATTTATTTGGAATATATGAGTTTAATGTTTAATTTTATGCATATTTGTCCTAAGCATAATATTATGTTTTAAATTATGCAATTTTATTATGCCTTTAGCAATGCATAATTTTAAGATGGAATTATATTAGTTCCTATTTAAGTTGGACTTATGCATAAACTTTAGCCGCGGTAGTGCCTGAATTTAAGCACGTTTAGTCCGCTAATTTAGTTCACCATTTAAGCTTTAATCATAGGTGAACCATACAGTTTTTGGTGTATACCCTACAGTTTTAGGTTCATACCCCCAAACAGTTATACATTAAGTATATATGAATCAGGGAGACATACTAGTTTTAATGGCCATGACTTAAGAACATCTTGTGCCACTAGTCTCCTTAAATTGATACTCTATCTAAGGAATTGGTTTTCAGTGAGACTTAGTCTCTAACCGCCTTTCCTTGGAGTATATTTAGATTTTCCCATCACAATTTGGTATAATCTGTTTATCAAAATTTTAAGTATTCCTTGCCAATGTGATTTGATTTCGGATCATTAAAGAATAGCCAAAGCATCTTTAATTTACTGAAGTCTCTTAAGTTTTCAATCTTGGTTAATTAAGGAAATGCTACAGCATATTCAGCTACATAAGATTGTTAAGTTTCAATCACATAAAGTTTAGGCAAGGAATTGATAATTGTCTAGTGATCTTATAATTTTAATTTGGTTTTGGAGTAGCCACAACATCCTTAATCTGTTAAAATTATATATTAAGCGGTTTATTTTAATCACATAAAGTTTTGGACATATCATTTGTGACTAATTGTATGTAATATGATGGAATTTAGCCCACAGGCAATTTCGTTATATTTGTATAATTAATCAGGATGAAATACTGGACTACGGTCATAATTTAGCCCACAGGCAATTATGTATCGGAATGTAGTTTAGTAGTTTTATCAGTGATGATAGAAATAATTTATTTATTTACTATATGGTTATTTGTAAATAATTTTCAATTCTATCATGAAGTTTAAATTTTATGATGTAAACTTTAGATCATATTTCTTAATTTGCCCACAGGGATTAAGAAAAGGAACATGATCTCTTAAGTTTTTTATCATAATGGTAGTAATGAATCTTATTGACTAAAACTTTAGCCTACAGGCAAGTTTTGTGTCATTTGATTCTTCAACTCATTTGATAATGGTTTCATCATAAATAAATTTTTCAGTTGGATCTAATTGAGTAAAACTTTAGCCCACAGGCAAGTTTTATGTCACTAGATTCTTCTGGCTCTTTAGTAATTGTGAAAAATATTATCATAAGGGTTTCTTAATTGGATTTAATAGAATTAAAACTTTAGCCCACAGGCAAGTTTTATGTCAATAAATCCTTCAACCCATTAGATAATAATTTTATCACAATTTCTTAGAGTTATAAATTCAGTTCAATTATAATTCTAAGCTTCATGGTTTGCATTGGCAAACATGTATTCAGTCACTTCCCAAAATTTAGTCACTTCTATTAATTAATCCACGAATCTTGCTCGGTTCTTCGGACTAACTGTAGTAAGTTACGTGATTTGACATACCTCTTGGATTCCAATAATGATAAAATGTATCTTTTGAGCCAAATTCTATCTTGGTTTTGAAAGATGTATTTTGTTTATTTTAGTATGTCCAACTATGGTGGGGAAATATATCTTCATTATTTAGTTGGACTTTAATTGGAACAAAAAATTGATTATTTAGTATGTCCAACTAATGGTGGGGAATTATGTCTTCATTTGTTAGTTGGTCAATAAATCAATTATGAGTATGTATATTATTGAGTTCATTTTATTAATTTCGCTGAAGAATATTTTAATTAGTGGGAGTGATCATTTAGAAAAAGATCATTAAGATGCTCCACTAAAGCTTATGGATTTAATTGGCTTCATACGTTTCAAATTGGATTGTATGTTACACAATAAGTCCATAAGATTCCACAAGTATTAATCTTGTATTTGTTCATATAAATTCATAAGTTCAAATTATTGAACATTTGGTTGTACAACATATTTATGAAAATGTTGTAACAATATTAAGGAATTTATTAGAACAAAAACATTTAACTTGTGGTGCACTGTCATTTAATCAATTCTTCTGTGATTAATAGAGTCTTTAGTTTCTTCAAAATTGATCTTGGGCCATTTTAGTTTGTAAGGCTCAAAACAATTTTGTGAGACATATAAGTAAGACTCATTATGTTCAGTTCATTTAAAGTGAACATTGAAGTTATTTGGGAAGTTATGGTGTATGTTTAAGATTCCAAATTTATGGACTTAGACCTTTGGTTTATTGTCTAAGTTATTGGAATGCTTCTGTGACTTGACTATCTTTTGGCTATTTTTGATGAGTGGGAGTAACAGACGTGTTAGCTCCAAGCTCTTAGCCGTTAGAGATAGTACTTAAAGTTAACTTATAAAGAAGTCATGGAATATAGTTAGCATTATGCTAACATTAAGAGATCTCTACTTAAGGCATGTTTATAAAGTTTTAGAGATCATACAGTGTACTCTTTTGTACAATTTAGATGCGTTTTCTCCTTGAGTTGTGCACATAATGTATTTTGAGAAACATCCCTTAAGGTACCGAGAATAAACGTAGGGTTTGTTCATTAAGGACCTAAGTTGGAGAATTAAAATGCATGTGACCATAATGGACACTACTCTGATTAAATAGAGGACATGTCACTATGATTCGTGTATTTTGTTCTTTGGTGAAGGTTGTGCTAGTACTTGCACCAAGTGGGAGAATGTAAGATTTTCCCTAATAATATATATTATATATTATATATTAGGGCCTTAATTAAGTGGTGCAAGTTGACTAGGCTTATTAAGTGGTCTGGTTGGACTTAATAACTAGTAATTGTTAGTCAACCAAACTCTTTGTCTAATATAACCTGGATTGATGGGATACAGGATTATGGATTAGACAGCACATTCAGTTACGGTACTCAGACCGCTCAGTAGACACCAATACACCATCTAGGGTTCTGAGTCAGGTCTGAGGCAAAACATGGTTAACGGTCTACCGTTAAGAGGCAACACAACAGGAACATCAACTATGGCTGGAGATCAACACGGCTACGCTTCCGCTATCATACGAGGTTAGGTTTCTCGTATACTATAGTTCAGTATAGTTAGATTATTGTATATCTAACATTCTTGTCTTTTAGAATATTAAAATGCGGCACACATAACAAGCTTAATTGATTTGTAGGAGTTTCATCTGATGTGGTGGGTTCCTTATGGGCACTAGACACTCGTTTTCCATCTAATGAGTCGATGAGTCACGTACTGTGTGTTTTCCATCGGGCATGTGTGGAGGCCCGAGGGCAAGGAATTTTGCCTTTTGAGACAAGATTGATTTTTTTTTTTTTTTTATGAGGGTTCGCATTGGGGTAAATTTCACCCTTTTGTAATAGTTTTCAAACCAGATATGAGAGGTAAACCATACTAGAATAACCACGTGTGACGTGGTAAACCAAAAAATATATATATATTGACAATAATTGAACTCGTGACTTAATACGATATTCAAGCTAGACGCACCTGTGCCTTTTCAATCTCGGAGTCTTGCTTATCGATGGTCAAAGAGAGTGGCCTTAGCATGCAAACAAAGAACAAATCTGATTTCCCAAAGAATGAGTTGTGACTTTGCCTGCAATGTATATATTACATGCTCAAAATAGTTACAACCTATGGAGCATAAGATAGAATATATTGTCACAATAAAAGATGTACTATGAATGTTTATAAAATTGACAATTATGTACTCACCTAAATGCCAATACTTCTACAAATTCTGTATCAATCTGGATTCAAAATAAGAAAAAGAAAATTTTAATTAGCTAGGAATAATTTATAAAATTTTCCCAAAATAAAATAAATATAAGTTAATTTCGACAAATAAATAAATATAATTAATTAATTACTAACCCCAGTCTCTTCTCGTACTTCTCTCACAGCTGCATCACATATATCCTCACCCTACGATCCAATAAAACCAATTATGAAAAGGCTGTGCAACGTTATAATTATACGAAATATATATGAAGTCACAAGTTCGATCAATCTCAATCTTTTCATTCATAGAAAAGATAGAACAACGTCATTACTAGCAGCTACGAGATCAGACATGCATGCATGCATGCATGGATAACGTTAAAGTCTCTGTCGGGCCGGGGTGTGGGGGCCCTTAGGGTTTTGGAATAATGGATAACGTTAAAGTAACATTAAATCCAAGGTCACAGGAAGAATGGATAACGTTAAAGTGTCGAGGTTCTTACCTGTTCAACTACGCCGGTAGGAAGTTTCCAAACGCCTTTGCCTTTGAACTCTCCATTGTTTTCTTGAACCACCAGCAACTGCATATAGGCCGGTAGTATTACATGCCAAATTTAGGTTACGTGTTTATATATGGACGCTAAATCAACATTAAATGCGTGTAAGTTACTTCTGCGTTTAGTCGATTTCTATTAATGACAATTAGGATACATATTTTTATAGGGATCGGAAAACCTCAACCTACTAGGCCGGCCGGATGTATAGTTGATTTTATGATTATAAGCTTTCAAGTTGTCTAGATTTTATATTAATATCATATGTAAATGTCAAGCGCATATAGGCCGGATACCTAACTAAATATTAAATTCAGAAGAAAAAAAAATATTTTAGTTAGTTATATACTTGGCCAGTTTGGTTGATAACGAAAGCACCAATCCCGACCCGATGAGAAGCATTGGAAGGAATAGTGTGGGGAGTGTGTGGAATCCAGTAAACCAGCATCAGGTACGTTGCCTCTGCATGGTGGTACCAAAACCCTTCCTGCATGCATGCATGTACGTACAAAATTTAATGCATATATATATGCACCACAAGTATAACCATGAAGTTATTCATATATATATATATATATATATATATATAGAATTACATTCATGTAAAAATAGGGCTTAAAATATAAACGTGTGGACATTTCTCGATAGTTGGATTTTGGGTATTAAGATTGTTATTAGTTTTTATGATTTTGTGTGCTGCCCGCCTGTGTGCACTGTCGTTTATGGACGTGTGCACGCCGGCCCAAATATTGTGGATTCACGCATACATACTATAATGGATGTGTGCACACCCGCATTTAGGTGTGTGCATAGTATACGTCCACATGTTTGTATGTAAATGCAACCCTATATATATATATATATATATATATATAATCATCGATCCATCCATATTTACTTACGTACCTTAACTGCAGCATCAACGAAACGGGCTAGTTGTATTGATAGTTTCATCCAAACACCTTTCTTCCCCTTCACCAAAAAAAAAAAAAAAAAAAAAAAAAAAAACCAAATCAACAAATTTTGGCTGGCTGGGAAAGGGAAACACATGCATGCATGCAACGTAAGTATGGAAGTACCTGGTTTCTCCACTCAGAGAGTGAAGCTCTGAGCACAGTGACAAAGTCGCCGGAATCCATGGACGACTCGCTCAGCTCCACCGTCACGCCACCGTATGCATCTTCCGCCGCCTCAAATACCCGTGGAGCAATGCCGCCGATCTCTTGCTGCTTTTCCGCCATGTTTTTTTCTGTATGTGTATCTATATACCCACGATATGATCAACTTCTTCACTCAATAAGCAATACCACAACTAATATTCACTGATAACTATATATATACACACACATACACATAATGACTATATATATAATACATATGATTATAATGATATGATGTTTCCTGCGAATGAACTAAGTATGTTCCACGCTGCTGTTCTCTTGGATGAGCGTTAATGCATCACACGTTTACTGTTTAGCGTACAAGTTAACGTTGACGTGGCGTTACCGTTTCGGTTTTTCAGCAACCCTAACCAATAAAATGAAGCTTACTTGGTAGGAAACTGCGTGTGTAAAGGTTGGTAGGGCCCAACAGTTAACGCGGTCACACTCAACTGACGCCGTTATTTTAACGTCTCGTAACGTGTTCTACGCGGCCGTTTCAAAGCGATGAAAGTTCCCCCGATTTATTGCCTGTTTTAACCACAAGTTTGTCCAAACATAATAATAATGTTTCAACTACTTAAAATGAAGCCAATTTTTACTCGTTTTCATATAGAATTTTTTGTTTAATGATATTTATAGTATATATAGTTTTTTTTTTCATATATAAATTTATAGACTAATATTAAAATAAATATTATAAAATTTAAACGATAAATAAATTGATCTGAATTAAGTCTTATTAATTGAAACAAACACATAAAATAAGATACAGAGTCTTAAAATAGTTGTGGGTCATGAGCATGTGCAAACTGATCTGAGTAGTGACCTAGGCTTCGAGTTTTTAGCATGTGACTTATATGACCCCACATAGTTTAATATCAAATAATAAATAACCCAATTAGATAATATCGCATTAAGGGTTCGTTTGGAAAGTAGGAAAATGACCTCTAGAAAATGAGTCATTTTTAAGAAAACATTTTCCTTTCCAGTGTTTGGTTGCATTCTGAAAAACTATTTTGTGTGTTTGGTTCATTTTCTGGAAAATAAGTAGAATTGTATAATTAAATATTTTAATTATTTTATTTAGAATATTACAACATGTATAATAATATATAATAATATAATAATAATTTTAAATATAATAAAAAATAACTAATAATATATCAAAAATATTATGGTGGTGGTGTAGTGGTAGTGGTGTTATTTGTTATATAATAATAATAATAATAATAATAATAATAATAATAATAATAATAATAATAATAATAATAATAACTGGTGGTGGTATGACGGTGGTGGTGTGTTGGCGGTGGTAGTGGTGGCAGCGACGGTGGTTGCGGTGGTATGGTGGTGGTGGTGGTAGTATGGTGGTGGTGGTGGTACTGGTTGCGATGGTATGGTGTTGGTGGTGGTAGTGGTGGTGGTGTGATGGTGGTGGTGGGGTGGCGGTGGTTGCGGTGGTATAATGGTGGTGGCGACGGCGACAGTAGTGGTGGTGACGGTGGTAGTGAGGTGGTGGTGGTGTGATGTTGGTGTAAAAGTTGGAAAATGACTTCCAAAAAAAAAAAAAAAGGAAGTCATTTTCCACCAAAACAAGCCTATTTTCCAAAGTCAACGGTAAATGATTTCCGTTGACTTGATTTTCCAAGCACATCCAAACAATGGAAACTTGAAAAATGATTTCCAGAACTCATTTTTCAGGTTTCCAAACACACCCTAAGAGGAAAAAATTTAAAAGGGGTGTGTAACATTACTCTGTTAGCATCAATGTTACATTGTAATGCTGCTTTGCAAACGCTACCATTTATTTGCATATTGTCATATATTGATGAATATTTCTATTACTATCTTTTGGTGACAAGGAGATTCATAACCATTATCCTTAGGTGTGTATTAGCGGTAAACCTCACTTTTAATGCCTCTACGAAATGAAAATTCTAAAATTAAAGTTGAAATTATTGAAACCCTAGTAATAGTCAAATAGGGAGACTCAATAAATTGTCTTTAATTGTAACCAAAATGAAATTGTGGAGGAAATTGACATTGAAAGCTTGGTGGATAATTTTGCATCTCAAATACGTAAGGAAAATGTGGACGCTTTTTAAATGAAATTTTGGATTATATATTTTCTTTGTTAAATATTTTATATTATGACAAAAGTTTTTTAATAAATATTGTGTTCATTATTGCCAAACATCTTTGTGCTTAGATAACATCTCTGTGATTCCTCTTGAGGGAAGATCATAAGACCGAACTCTAGTGGTGGGATATTGAGTCTTTTGACTGCTCTAGTATAGAGAAAGTATAGAACATATACTATCTTGTAATAGAGTCAAATAATAGTCGGCAAACCAAACACCCCTGATCGCCCATTTTGTAGTTCTTTATTTATATTTGTAATTATATTAAAGTGTGCCGAAATTAAGTTAATTATTATACAATATTTTGATTTCTTCAAAATCAACCCTAAATAAAACGCATAAGGCACGTTAAGTAAAAGTTTGTCTAGCATGCTATGTTTTTCCTTGCAAATATGTGTTTTCCTCAAATAAATATAAAACCACGAATTCTTCTGTTAGACGTTAGAGCAATGACTTTGGCTATGTATGTCATGATATCGATCACGTCAAACAAGTTATTTCGTATAACAAATACGTCACATTTTTTTTTTTTTTGTATATATTTCATGACAACACGTCAAGCAAGTTACCTCCTATAATTAGCAATATACATTTTTACCGCAAATTATATCGTGCACCGCGGTGCATAGTCGATTATGCTCCGCGCATCAAAACGACGTCGTTTTGTTAAATGAAAAGAAACGACATTTGTTTCCGTCGTTGTGCACCCGTCCGCAAAAAGTGACTCTATTATTCAGTTTCATTTTGTATACACTGCAGTTTCAGTTCAACACAACTACAGTTTCAGTTCAACACAACTACAGTTTCATTTTGATATAACTACAGTTTCATTTGATATTTATAGACTCAAATATGTGAAAATGTTATTTAATTTTATTTTATATACACTATAGTTTTATTAAAACACAACTACATGATCATTTTGATATAATTACAGCTTCATTGTACAATATACACTCAAATATGTGAAATGTTATTCAGTTTCATTTTATATACACTGCAGTTTTATTTCACCACAACTACAATATCATTTTGATATAACTGCAGTTTCATTTGTCGTGAGGCAATGTCGGATTATTTATACTGTAGTGTCAGTTGGAGTTTAATACACCAAACATGCGGATTCCGTTAACGATAACGACGGGCCATTTCTTTACTTAAAGAAACGGTGCCGTTTTTTACTGCGGTGCATGTGCACCGCGGTATATAACGACTGTTTTTTTATAGATCAAAAATACTTAATGGACACTCTATTTTTTCTTAATGACATTAGAGCGTCCATAATTGTGAATTTTGGTGGGTTTTTGTCATAACAAAAAACTAGGTGTTGGGTTTTTAGTTGATGGGAGAACTAGTTTTTCTTTTCCTGCAAATTCAATTTTTTGAGCGACCCACAGTTTGAGAAAATAAAAATAATATATAGATTTTTCTGCGCATTCAAAAAAAAATATATATATAGATTTTTCTGCGTGTTTGGTACACATAATGCGCCCAACATGCACGTACACTAATAACCAGATCATAGCCTCTTTTTTTTTTTTTTTTGGTCAAAAAATTTGTATTTTTTTTTTTTCTCATTTCTTCACTTCTCTCTTCCCCTCTCGATCTCTCCCACTTGAATATGAAAAAAAAAATACATACTAATAAGAGCGTCCTCATTAGGCATTGTTTTTGATTAATTTTTGCAGATGTGACTATGAGAGAGAACATGGAAGAGAGAAGAGAAATAAGAAAAAAAAAAAAAAGAAACAGCGAAGGAAATAACGCGCCCAGCTGGCATATGGTGTGCACGAGCCTGGCTGGGCGCTTTAGTTGTACCTCACGCAAATTAACAAGATCTTTTTCATATTTGGTGGGGTCCACTTTAAAATGAAAAATCAGGATTCTAGCTTGAAGGAAAACCTAAAACATTATATTCTATCTCATATTTCTCTCTTTTCCACATATGCTTGGCTCTCACAAAAAAATACCTAAAACCCATCTATTGTGGATGTCTTAAAAATTGCTCTTTTCGGGTCAAATCAAAACTTAATTCGGGCCTTAAATGAGATGGGCTTGTATGTCTAGATAATAACTCTAACTAATATAGCCCACCTTTTGGCGATGGTCATTGGACATCTAATGAAACCAATCGTTATATCCTACACCACGGCGCACATAGCACTGTGCGCCGCGCGCCTCCCAAAACGACGTCGTTTTGGGTAGTGTTGGGAGGCGCGGTAGGAAGTTGCTGAGATTATGTGTATTTGTTTACAACGTTATGTGTATTTGTTCACAACGTTATGTGTAATTTTTTTACAATTATGTACATTCTTTTTATACAATTATGTACATCCGAATCAGAAAATTTGTGTGTATTATGTTAAGAGTTGATGTGTATTATGTTAAAAGTTTATGTTTATTATGTATTATGTTAGATTATGTGTATTATCTTTTAAAAAGAGTATGTATATTTTGTTATATAATTATGTACATTCATGTATAACATTATGTGTATTCTAGTATAACATTATGTACATTCTTGAACAACGGCTTTTTTTTAAAGAAAAAACTACTGCCATTCACTGGGGCGGGAAATTTCAAAAAGAAAAATAATTAAAACGACGTTGTTTTGCATCTGGGTGCATAGTGCAACGCGCGCCGTGGTGTAGGATATAAATTGCCTAATGAAACATCTCTATATAAACAAGGCCAAATTTCAACCAAACACAATAAACTCCTATTAGCGTACCTCATTTCAATGGATTCATCATAACTATAAATGTGTTGGGGGTTATAACTTATAAGCAGTCCAACAGCAAAAGTCATTGAAGTTTAGTATTGGCTAGTCTAATGCAATCATTATTGTATGGACCATGGTCCACACAAGTTGTGTGGACCATATTTTGTCTACTGTAAAATAATGTACATTTAGTACAAAAATAATGTACATTATATTCAGAGAATGTACATTATTTTTGTTCTGAGTGTACATTATATTGTATAATGTACATTCAGTACAAAAATAATGTACACCTAGTATATTAAAAATGTACATTTTATTATGGTCCACATAACATTGTGTGGACCATGGTCCATACAATAATTTGCCAGTCTAATGTGAAGCTCAATTTAGACATGGAAATGAACAAAATAGGATTGCTTTAAGCCCATTACAAATATTTACAATGCCAACATTGTAAGAATCCACTAGTTATACCATGGATCATAGTCTACCTTACCATATGGACCGGAGTCCAAAATATACAATTTACATACTAAATATTCACAATTTAGCTTTTACAAAATTGTGAACCTTCAGTATGTAAATTGTATATTTTAAAAAAGGTGGAACCTGGTCGACAGAATAAAGGGAGAAGTGTCAAATAGGCCCATGTACTTTTGTCAAGTGCTCAATTCCTACCATGAACTAAATTAAAGGCTAATTAACCACAGGTTACCAATTCAATTATTAAAAAAATAATTTCAAAATTATTTAAAAATTATTTAAAAAAAAAAAAAAAAAAAAAAAAAGAATACAGCCACCGGCTGTCCTCGCAGGACAGCCGGTGGTATTTTTTTTTTTTTTAATTTTATTTTATTTATTTCAATAATTAAATAGGTAACATGTTATTAACCTGTAAAAAAATCAATTGAACAAATTTAACTCGTAAATGGACCTATTTGACACTTAATTTAGTTCATGGTGGAAATTGAGCATTTCGCAGTAGTAGATGGATCTATTTGACACTTGTGCCCAGAATAAATGGTTAAGTGTATAAATAAAGGATTGTATAAATAAGTCACAAGCAATTATTAGAGATTGATTTTTTTAGGTGAACAGGTCGATTTTTAAAAAAATGGATACACCAAATAAAATCGGGTTGAACCCGGGAAGAGGGTAGGGGCGTGGCGTATTATCTCCCTCCATTTTATGGAAGAATATCCAACTAAAACTACGACGTTTAATCCAACAGTACCCATCCACTGCTACGAAGAATATCCAACTAAAACTGTTGTGATAGTGAACGGAAAAACGTTTTCCGGCGCCGGCGAAAGAAGATGGCTGCCAGAGCGAACAACCTCCTCGCCTGCGTCTTCACTCCACCCCCACCCAAACCCAAATTCGCTGGAATCTCTACCCGCCGACTCTCATTCCTTCACACTCGGACCTGCTTCTCCATAGCCACCAAAGCCCCAACGATTCCCCGGAAAAGTTGCCTCCAAATACGCAGGAGTTCACTCACCACTCCGAGCTCACAGGACCCTGTTCTTGAAGAGGACTCCTCGGAGGTCGAGGATGAAGACGGCGGCGGCGAGAATGGAGGGGACGATGGAGAGGGATGGGGCTGGACGCTGTCGTTTCTCCTTTTCGGATTTTGGGCTGGCCTCATGTACTATGTTCTCGTCCTCGCCCCTAACCAGACCCCGGTACTACACCACAATTTTGCATCTATTTATCTGCCATTTTCTTCTGCTTTCAGAAATCCATACACAATTGCATCTATCTATACCTTTTTCCCTTCATAAATGGCTAAACTGGTGCAGTTGTGACTTGAGATTGCTTCCTGTAGTGTTCTTTGCTTGATAATTTCACCTGTTTTTTGGTTAGGGTTAGTAACCTTTGTGTGTTTCAGTCAACAGATTTGTATTTCCTGAAGAAGCTGCTTAACTTGAAAGGAGATGATGGTTTCAGAATGAATGATGTTCTTGTGGCTGAATGGTACATAATGGGTTTATGGCCTGTAGTATACAGTATGCTGCTGCTTCCTACTGCTAGAACGTAAGCTTTATGATGATCTTACTTCAGTTTCACAGTTCCTCTTCCTTTTGAGTGACGAGGGAAATCGGGGGTTGTCTTGTGACCTTAACAGACAAAAGGTCACAATGAGGTAAACCAACTTAGTTGCTCATAGCTGACCAACTCAAACCAAGAATACCAATCTAGGTTGTCCATAGTTGATCGGCTCAAACCAAGAAGCCTAATAGGCCACTCCCGCTAGAAGTTAAATTTGTAACCCTGTGGTTACCAGTCAATAGTCTGACCATCTTGGTTTGAATTGCTTCCACCGTTCTTCTATAATCTTTGCATGTGCAGCTTTTGTGTTAAAGAACATGCAAACTTGCCACCCTGCTTACCTTATGAATAGCTAATTGTGTTGATATGAGAGTTCTTTTTCTGCAGCCCCAAGTGCAGTGTTCCTGTCTGGCCCTTCCTTGTCCTTTCATGCATTGGTGGTGCATATGCTCTCTTTCCTTTTTTTATTCTCTGGAAGCCCCCGCCTCCACCTGTTGAAGAAACCGAGCTCAGAAGATGGCCTTTGAACTTCCTTGAATCGAAATTAACTGCAGGGGTAATATGGCGTTTAGGCTGAAACTAGACTTTTTATGCACAATCTTTATTGTTTATTTGTTTCCTGAAGGCGAATTCAACCTGACTATGATGTTTCAGATTCTGTTGGCTTCGGGGCTAGGATTAATAGTTTATGCAGGTATTTCTACTGGGGACTGGAAGGAATTTTACCAGTACTTCAGACAGAGCAGATTTGTAAGTTCTGACTCTTGAAATCAATCTCAGGCTTCTGGATGCTGTGTCCAGTAGTAGACTGTCTCACTTTCTGTGCATTCTCTATCAGCCCCATCCCTTTTTGTGTGCAAAATTCTTTCAATTCTTTTTCTTCTGTCTGCTCTCAGATCCATACAATGTCTATTGATTTTGTTCTACTCTCAGCATTCGCCCCATTCTGGGTGTTCAATGACATGACAACTCGAAAGTGGTAAGTTCTGTTCTTGGTTGGAACAACAATGTATTCTGGTCTGTTTGTGAGCAGAACTCATGAAATACATGTTTATGATTCAAGGTACGACAAGGGTTCTTGGCTTCTTCCTGTGTCAGCCATTCCATTCTTGGGTCCTGCATTATACCTTCTCCTACGGCCACCAGTCCCAGCAGTACAGGCTTCCTCAAGCCCGAGTTCTTTAGAAGAAGAGTAATGTGTCGGCCCCTTTTGTGATGTTGAATCTGGATACCCCCTCACATCATGTAGCAACACAAAAGAAAAGCCACTCGAAGATTGTTAACATATATACTGCCAGCTTTCAAATGCCAGGATGAAGAACCACCGGGATTCAAATCGAGCTGGTGCATGTTGCAGATGTAAGCTGCAGCCAATGGAGCTCCTTTTGCTGCATATCCAGAAAAAAAAAAAAAAATTTAAAAATGTTACAGTTTTTTGTTACTAAATACACATGTCAAATTCCAGAGAGGGAATTGTTTTGTTTTAAAATTGTCAAAATGCTTTGTTTTCTGCTTTTTGTCAACTTCCCAAGTGCCCAAGCAGTTTAATCTGATTTGTGAAGTCTGAACTGGCTAAATCAAATGCACACTTTAATCCACAGGATAACAACTCCAGAATAGCACTTGCATTAACTGCAACAAAAAAAACAATACATCTTTGCACTTCAAATAGCAATCTGACATTTATTCAAGCAGTGACAATACAAACTGAATAATGTAAATTCTGCTACAATATGGTATTGAAAGTCGGTGTATTCATATAATTCATGGAGCTCTTGAACTTTACAAAGGCATCTGATCATAACCCTGAAACCCAGAGCTTAGCAAGCAGGTGGTGTACAATTTAGGAGACCACATTGACATTTTGATTAGAGGAAAAAGATTCTAAGCAACGTTGTATGATAGAATTCACCAAAAATTCCCCTGAATATTATTGTATCTGCTTTACAGCATATCCTGCTATATGGCACTGTGTCTTTTAAATATGGAAGAATTGCAATTATCTAGCTTGATCCACGTTTAACACATTCTTCAGCCCGTGTGAGTGCATCTGAGAAAACATCAGCTGTCCAGTCCTTCACATCCTCCTGCATATGGTCATTAAATAGAAATAGAGATATTTTTTAAAAATATTGTCAACCCATCTCAAGAAAAAGGAACAAACAAGGAAAAGTTAGAAAATCTTCACCCTGCATTCTTATGTGGCTCATGATCGTTTATTTAAACTTTCCAGGTCATACTTAGCAGCACATGGTATAGCGTATTCTAAACTTTTTCACCAATTATGAAATTAGGTTGAGAGAGACCAAGTGCCATAATGAAGCCAGAGCAACAGCAAAACGGTAATAGAAAATCTGGAAATTTTCTTATCTACTCCTAAAGTTAGAATCTTACTCCAGGAGTCTTTACTAGTACAAGAAATTTCCTACATGACCAGCTTAAGAGGACATATGTGTAACTGACAAACTGCAAAGGATTCATTTCATTAACAGAGATTCAAACTCTAAGGTTTCATTTCACTAACAGAAACTCAATATGTAGCACTCACGGGTGATAAAGGATGACCCATTACATCAATATGCACAGAACCAAAAGAATTGTAATACCAATGACACAATTTTAGATTTCAGACTTGCAATCCTTGAAAGATGGAAAAAGAGAGAAGCGAGCATTACCAAGTGGATGGGCTCCCCAGTCCTTATGCGTGCATTGGGACGTGCAAGTGTAGATTCAAATGGAGTCCTTGGCCGCACTTCTTGAATTGCATCCCATTCCTCGCGGGTGAGCATCCTTACTGTCCCAAAACCTTCAGGGGCATTCTTAATATTCTCCTCAATTGTCTCTTGAGACTTTGAGTCATCATACTACAAAAATGAACAGCATCCTAAAACCATTAATTCCAACTAAAAAATCACATAAATTATTTAGAAATTATACTTTTATTCCTTAAACAATCTAGGATGGTGTCATGGTTGTTTGTAGAGGGAATTGCTTAAAGACTAGTCATCCAGATTAGGATTTTTGCAGTTTCATTAAGCCAGACAATTAGGGAAAGTCAGTCACAAATAAAGATTAATCAGTGAAATTACAGAAACTGATTTCGAAACATATCCTTGTCTTCTGAGATGCAACTTAACTTAGCCATACCGTCATCAAGATCTTTGCAACAACAGCAGACCCAACAGCGATGAGTATCATCGGCATGGTGGGAGTGTCCAGCCATTCCATTGAGTCCGGCACCCTGATAAACATTTGATTCTTCCGGGCGCTCTTGCCTTTCCTCTTCCTTTCAATTTCAGCAACCTTTTTCTTCAAGTTCTCGCTGGGACCTTCCCAGGTTTTTGTATGCACTTGCCTCCAAAGCCCGTGCACGGCTCTACGAACCCCAATCATGACTCAAGAGGAGAAATCAATCCAATTGTACCAACTTTTACTGCGGATTGAAAAAATGAAAAGGTTTTGGATGAGAATATCCCGCTTGAGAATTTCGTCGAACACCTTAACTGCAGCGCGAAGACAGCAATCGCTTTCAGAAATTTTGAGAACCAAAGAATTACAAGTAGGATATGGAGATGCTCATTCTCATGCTCGGCATATAGAATGTGTTCAGAGAGCGTTTGCGAGGGATTCCTACTTACCTGTAGACTGTAAACCTCACTGATCCGTTTCTGACTTTCTGTGAAGAAAATACAGCAAAAAATGTAGCGGCCTTGAAAGAGAAAAAGGACCCGACCAAATTGGTCACGCGGAGGGGCAGAATTGGGAAAACCAAAAATGCGGTGAACGTGGATCGAACACGTGACCTTCAGATCTTCAGTCTGACGCTCTCCCAACTGAGCTATCCCCGCAATTGGTTACATTGACAGTTACTAATTTATTAGTATAAGTTTCTATTTTTGCCCCCAAAACTAATAAATCAAAATCATAACTTAAAACTTACTTCCAATGTCAGTGAAAATTTGATTCATATCATGAACATTAGAAGTTTAAATTTAGATTGTGTGTGAAAAACTACACAATTTGATATTACGTATAATGATACATATTTATATCTTACCATAGATTATATACATTCAGTTAACATATTGTGTACTTTCAGTCATATTTATATCCTACAATACTCATGGTAAGCCCTAATTCACGATATAATGATTCCATAGTAAACCCTAATTTAGGGTAAAATGATCCTATAATGAATCCTAATTCACAATATAATGATCTCATGACAAATCCTAATCCACAATATAATGATCCTTAACTGACACGCGACCACTTCTACCTTCTGAAGTTGTGGCCATGGGATTGAGAGAATTAAATAATAACATTGGACTTTACCAACATTCATTGTAAAGGACTGAAAGATACCCCTTTTTCACACGAAATATCAGCACTAATACAAGAATTGTTGAAAGATACATAATGATTACATGCTGAATAGAAAACAAAGCAAGCCCCAGAGAAGCTGATACTTATGAACTGGCATATGGTACTGTAAAGTTTACATGGAGTACATACATTCATGGAAAAATTACAAATCAAAAACACTACTAGCTAAGACTACCATTTACAGGAGGAAAAATGACAGCAAAAACAAGAGATTCCAGTCAAAACCGTACTTCAATTCGCTGTTTTCCTTTTTCCTTTCTCCAATTTCCCATTCTCCACTCACTGTCTTCTGTTTTTCAGATGTACAAATAATCATATTCTCTACTTTTCCTTCTTCGGTAGTAAACACACCAGTGGATTCCAGTCATAAAAAAGGCAGACCGGATTCTTGCGAGTAGCATCACTAACCTCTTCTGCCAGTCTACCTGCTCAATACTTGTGTGACTGAAGCAGCTGCATAACATTGCCAATACATACTACCGTGAAATCTGGAATGGAGGGAATACCAATTTACAAACTAATGCTAATGGGGAAGCGGCTTTCAAATATAATGAGCTCAGCATCAAGACCTAAGTTTCAACTTTCAGGCTTTCAGTTGCATACTAGGCTGGGTAAGAAAACCTATATCTATCGGTTTAAAGTCTAACAACTACTCCGTATTATTCTATTCTTGAGTGGCCAATGCATACAAGTGAAGCAATGAGAACCCCAGAATTCTCTTTAGCAGCACAACAAGAGCCATCTCTTATGAACCATAACACAGCTGACAACCCATGGTTCCCCATTTCTCTAATCACCAACAATCATACCAAACTTCTGTTTCAAATCCACAGCATCACACAACTCCAGCCATCCCCTTGTCACTGTTCTACAACACTTTTAGTCTACTACATTAAAAAAAATAAATAAATAAATTACAATCACTACTAGTTCATAGCTATCTTCTCAAATCCCTATGCAAAACTGGACTTCATTACTACACTATCAGTTAGATATAAAATAAGTGCAACTATATCTTTGCAGCATAGCTCATTAACTAGTTTTTTTAATTATCATTTATATAAACTATGATAAAGTAGACAAACTAATAACTGGAAAATCTAAAATAGCAGCCCATCAAGCTAACTACAATACTTCAGAACACACTGTGAACCTAATCACAAGACACAATTCATGTCTTAAGACATATGCACTAGTTCAGTGTCATGAAACCTGTTTACCATCTTATAGATAGGGTCTATGACCAAAAAATGATAATAATAACTAGGAGTTAATACCATTTTAGTCCTTGAGTATAGTAGCTTTGCCACTTTTGGTTCCAACTCTAAAGTCGACCAACCTTAATCCTTCAAATATTATTTTTTTGCCACTTTTGGTCCTCCTGTGGATTTTCTGTCAAATGACTGTATGAGATGGGGTCTAAACAACATTTCTGTTATCCAACCCCCCAAAATCATCCCAAATTTGAAGGAGAAAAACCCTAAATCATCCCAAAATTTTCAATCAGTCTTCACATCCAATGTATTCTTGTTGTGTATCATAGGTTTGAGATGATTTAAGGTTTTTTCTTTGAAGTTGGAATGATTTAGGTTAGGGGTTTGGATAATGAAAGTACATGTCTTATCATGTCTCAAACAACCATTTGATAGAAAATCTCCCAGAGGCCAAAAGTGACCAAAAAAAATCAATACATGGAAGACCAAAATTGGTCAATTTTAAAGTTGAGGACCAAAAGTGGCAAAGCCACTATACTTTGAGGACTAAAAATGGTATTAACTCTAATAACTAGTCTTACAAGTAACCTTAAATCACTATATTAGTAGAGATTTATATCATTCCCTTGCAACAATCATCTAAAATATTAACCTTAAAAATACATTAAACAGCCCAACATTGAGGTCTAACTAATCCAAACTTCATAATTTGAAGAAAGCATCTAAACTACAAACACAAGGCTCAATCAGAATCAAGCATGATATATCTAATAAAATTCTCTTAAACCACAATATTAAAATAAACTAAGGTTGTTCCAATCTTCTAGACAGTGCCTCCTTGCTAGTTGCTACGGCTTTGAATATCTACTCAACTCTGGGCGATAAGAAGCAATAACCAAGAGACCTGACTGCAACACCTATGGGAAAAGTTTAGTATAACATCTATCTGGCATATGGATGGTATCGACCACTGCCACTATAGCCAGCCCTATTTCCATACATGCCTCCTGGTCCACCATAACCAGCACCAGGGCCAGAATCATAACCAGCACCTGAGCCAGCTCCACCAAACCCTCCATAACCACCACCACCACCACGACCATATGGACCTAAACCACTGCCACCATATCCCCCACCAAGTCCACCACCATAAGAGCCAAAGCGACTGGAGTAGCCAAGTGAGGGCTCTCCACGGTAACCACCACCAAAATCACCTCCAGCAAATTCGCCATAGCGGCCCCCAAATTCACCAGCACCATATCCATATTCACCAAACCTACCACCCCCAAGGCCTCCATAAGACCTATAAGAGGCAGTGCCAAAACCACCACTGTCAAAACCGCTATAGTTATTGCCAAATCCACCATAGTTGTCACCATAACCACGGGCCCTAGACTCACTACCATAGGCGGGAGCAGGTGCAGGGTATGAGGGTTTCTTTGGTTCAGCTTTCTTGATCTCAACCTACAACAAAGAAGAAAGTCAACCTAAACATTCAACCTGTACATTAGTGTGAGAGCCAAGCACTTAACAATTAGTGATACAATGAAAACCTGCAACCAACTAGTAGTTCTAGGCTTCAGAGACAATTTATATGCAACATCATTATATCCAGACAGAATATATAGTGGGGAAAGTGAAAAACTAACCTGGGTACCAGACATATCTAGCATGTTTCCATCAGCCAGAATATTATCAACCACTTGTTCATTGTCAAATACAATAAATCCAAACCCACGGGATCGTTTACTCACATGGTCTCTTATGATCTCATGTTCAACCACCTTCCCATACTTGGAGAAAAAGCTTTTTAACTCATCTAAACCACCCAAAACAAAAAGAACACAATAGATGTATTAGGGAACACAACAAAAGGCATAAAACATGTTGGTTGCTAAATCTTAGAGATCATAAAGCTGGTGAAACATGCAAAAGTGGACAATCACAGTCCTGCTGTAGCCATACTGTAAGTATCAGGTAGAAAGTAGTAAAAACAGAAGGACACGTCTTTACCTTCAGTTACCACGGTAGGAATACCGCCAACAAAAATCTTCTTCGTCTTGATATCCTTGGATTCAGCAGATCCTTTGGGAATGGTTCTCTTTATCTCAACCTGTCAAAATGGAGAATTATTATTTCTCAAGGATCATAAACCCAATGTCTGGTGCCACCACTCTTTAAAGAGAATTAGATGTTCATAGAAAACAAATGATATGGCAGTTATGACACAGCTTCATAATGTTTATAGTTCATTAAAATATATACTTATAGAAGTATCTTAAGTCATACATATCAATACATAACTAAAACTTTTCTTATTTGTTTTGAGTTACAAAGCATGCAACCTAAATTACTCAGATACTAAATTTGAAAACTTGAATAACTATAAAGGGATTTTGATTGCAATAGGCATAATAAAATGTTCCTAGAATACACAAGATATGGCAGTTATGACACAGCTTCATAATATTTATAGTTCATTAATATATACTTATAGAAGTATGTTAAGTCATACTCATACATATCAATGCGACAATGCATAACTAAAACTTTTCTTATTTCGTTCAAGTTACAAAGCATGCAACCTAAATTACTCAGATACTAAATTTGAAAACTTGAATAACTATAAAGGGCTATGACTCAAATGCATTTTTCAACCTAGTTTTCCCTATTTTTGTCCAGGATTTAAAATCTATCAATTTTGCCCAATCCATTTCAATTATGCTTATTTAAGTCAAAACCCCAAACTATAAATGCTTAGAAGCTAAGTATTAGATTTATTGATCAAGGTTTGCATACTGCGCCCATAGACCTATCCAACTTGTGAAAAGCATCCTTTCACTTTACAAGGGCAAAAGGGAAAATCTTATGAGCTCATTGAAAGAATAGCACTATTGCCAACTTCATTATTATGGACAACAATCAACAGCCAGCAGATAAAAATGCATTTGATTGGTGGTAAATAAATTTGATAAGCTCTCACCTGTTTGCCATTGATGATATGGGTTTCAGCAATAACAGTGTCAACAACAGCTGGTTCAGCATACGTGATGAACCCAAACCCCCTGGGTCGTCCAGTTTGACGGTCCTTCATGATAACAGAGTCTGTGATATCTCCATACTTCCCAAAGTACTTCACAAATTGATCTTCAACCAAATTAAATTCCCCACACAAATAATAGAAGTAAGTCAGATTACCATCACAAAAAATAAAAATAAAACAACACAGAACACCAATCAAACAATCGTAGAAGACAGTTCAAAGCAAACCTAGAGTTGTATCCTTAGCTAAACCACCAATGAAGATTTTTCTGTATCATAGAAAAACAAAACCCTAATTAGCACAGCTCAACACACACACACACATCCATTCATCCATCCATCAATCAAAAGTCTTAGATAAACAACTAGAGACTCACCCGGGGCTGGCGCCATCGCCGAAGTTGAATCTCTTGGATCCCATGTGGTCGGGGTTGATGATTTTCAGAGATCTCAGAGGATGATCGATGGCAGGGGTTAGGGTTTGTGCTGCTCGACTGGCGGGGACAATCGGAGCGGGTGCTTCTGCCTTTTTATATGAACGCTGCTCGGGAAATCTGGATATGTGTCAAAAAAGTTATCCTGAAAAAAGTAGGAAAAGCCGAAACGGAAAAATATAATAAAACCCGAAAAGGAAAAGAAATGAAGTTTATGCCTAATATAAGCGTAGCCAACGTGACCCGGTGTGATATGAATATATAATTATTTGAAGTGTTTTTGATAGAATTCAAAATCATTATTTTTATATATCATATTTATATTCTACTTGGAGCAACATTATCAGTTGAGGATATTAGAGGGAGAATGAAGAGTGATTAGGAAAAAAAATGTGGAAAGGGAGAAAACAAAAACAAAAAAATGATTTTTTTTTTAATATGAAACGGCGTGCCACTCGGGCACGTGCACTGCACGCGCCCGAGTGGCCTCTTACGTTTCCTTCACGCGGAGACACCAAGGCTTGTTTCCTTCACGCGGAGATACCAAGGCTTTCTTTTTGTTTTTATTTTAGTGTGGACCCCACAATTCTATCACCCTTTGCAGGAGAAATAACTCCACAAATAACTCTACCCCACATCTCTAAATAATTCCATTCAATTTTTTTGATTGACAATAACACTCAAATAACTTCTGATGTAGATGCTCTTACACAATCATTTATTTTAGGACAATAAAATGTGTTTTGTTTTTGGTCTAAAGCACAAAATTGTCTTGGTCTTTCTCTATTTGTTTATCGGAGAATCGTCACTTATGAGAATCGAACTCGGATTATCTCAAAATTCTCCCAACAAAGGTAGTACATTTGTCACTTGAGCTAGCTCAAGAACAATAAAATGTGTTTTGTTACTTTTATAATAGAAATATCAATTTTATACGACAATATAACTTAACTAATTTGATAACTTTTTATAACAATAAAACATGTTTTGTTGCTTTTAGTATAAAAACACCAACAATTTTATACGACAATGATAACCTAACTATTTTGAGAAAAAGTAATCAGGTGATGTGTGAGGTTGTTTGTAGGACTCGGTGGTGAACAAATTATGATATATTCACCTTTTGATATTAAAATTATTGTGATGATTATTTTGGAGTAAAGACACTATGACTTGATGATATAAAATTTGTGAAAGATTTGCTTTTTAATTTAACAATTAGTGTGATGATTAGTGATGGATGATATATATTGGGCTGATCAGACAGACTAGTCAACTAAAAGCGCAAATTATGCCGTGGAAACGTGTTCACCATGTTTTGTGAACACGTTTCAAAACGGCGTCGTTTTTACGAGAAAAAAAAGTAATTAATATATTGTTAACGGCGTTTTGCATTCTATGTTTAGATTATGAATTTACATTTATTAAATTATGAATTTTCTGTTATGAGATTATGAATTTTCTGTAAATTCATAATCTCATAACAGAAAATTCATAATCTCATAAAAGAAAAATATTTATTAAATTATGAATTTCTGTTATGAGATTATGAATTTACAATTATGTAATTATGAATTTTCTGTAAATTCATAATCTCATAACAGAAAATTCATAATCTCATAACAAAAAATTCATAATCTCATAAAAGAAAATTCATAATTTCATAACTGCACATTCATAAATTCATGTCTGCACATTCATAATTTATGAGTGTTGAAGAAGCTTGCGCGAAGAGGAAGTGAAACCGCGAAATGTGAAAATGAAGAAGAAAAGTCGCGCTGTTAATTAAAAAAAAAAAAAGATTGGTGGAAGATAACGGTGCCACTTACGGGCACCGTCACTGTTTGGGACCGTGTTCACCATGGATGGTGAACACAGTTCCATGGCATAACGATTGAACCAAAAGGGTATGGGCCTAATGTAACAATAACTCTGCGCAGTTTAGGATGTTTATTCATAACTTATAGCTCAAAATATGTATAAATAAACCATCATACATGGGGAGGGGACGAGCAATATTCAACTATGGAATATATTTATTCTTTCCGTATATTTTCTCTATATTTTTTTCATATACTTGTTATTTTAACGATAGTGTTGACCGGCCATTGACTATTCAAAAGTCACAAAACCAACAATAAGTCTGAATTCAAATATTATACTTATTAAAGCTAATTTCTCAAAACGAGTGACGAAGTGGATGAAATATAATTCTCATATATGAATGTTACAAGTTTAATTATTGTCAGCACTTTGTACGTCGAGCATGTTGCTCATGGTCAATGACGGAGCCAGAAATTCGGTTGAGGGGGGCGGAAAAGTACAGTAGGGACGGATTCAGAAATTTTTTTCAATAAAGGTGAAACATTAAAACAAAATAGATAATTTTTAAAAATAAATAAATAAATTACCTAAGAAATATAGTTATAAATATTGTTGGATATGGGCGAAAAATAAAACACATCGAAACTTTATAAAAATATTCATAACAAAATATGAAATATAAATAATTTATAAAATAATTTGAATATAAAACACATTATAAATTACACATCTCATTATTAATATAAAAGAATGTTATATATGTGTGTGTGCGCGCGTATTAAATATTTAAAAAGCTATTAAAAACGTGGGGAAGGAGTAAAAAAAACTGTAAAACTATGTTGATGCCAAAAGGATTCAAACCCTTCCTTTACTATTACCAAACATATGATCTGCCAACTAATCCAACTCATTTCTTATTAATATTTAATAGTTTTTTATACTAATACTAAATCATGTACTATATATATATATACATATATACATACAAAGATTATATATGGGGTAGATGTGGGGTGGGGGGCAGCTGCCCCCGTTTGGCTCCGTCCCTGCCCATGGTCTTCCTTGTCACCCAAGAGATAGAGAGAGAGAGAGAGTGTGTGTGTGAGAGAAAAAAAATTATATATCAATTTAAAAGTATGTGATAGTGTAGAAATGTACCTTGTAATCTTTATATGGTAAACAAATAACATATTTGCGTTTAAGCTTATTGTGTTTTTGGGTCATTAATGGATTGACACGATAACAACATATATAATGTTAGGGTCTATGAATCATGACATTCACTTGCTCTCAGGAGGTCGTTTCTTAGTTAAATTGTAGAGTATGACATTATTATGAATGGTTTGAGCTTTGATAATTAATAAATTTCTTTACTTAAAAAAAAATAAGTTAACATGTTAGCATATCTAATTGTGTCATTTCATGTCATGTCAACGCAAAACCAATTAGCTTATCGTGTTGTTACAATTTCGTGTTCGTGTATAACATGATTGAAATCTCAACGTATTAAACTTAACATGTTGTGTTCGCTTATGACTTCATCTCGTTAATACCCTGCCTATACACAACATTAAAACGAACATGAACATCTAAATTGCCAATTCTATGTATAAACAAGCTCGTTATTTTTTACATTATATATATATATATATATATATATATATATATATATATATATATATAGCTTAGACTTCTCTATCTCACTTCACACAAATCACAACAAAAGAAAAAAAAAAAAATTCTACTTTGGACGCCAACCATGTCATCTTCATCCAAAAGATGAGCTCCCCTTGAGGGAATGTCACATGATCGAACCTTAGTGGTGGGTTGTATTAGTTAAAGAAAGTATAGAGCATATGCCCTTGAGACACGATTGGATGAAGATACACTTTGACACCATGGTAAATGTCTTTGTCACCAAGCTGCCATGTTATTTTTTTTATTTTTTTTTATTGATGAGGTTATATAATAGTCTAATTGGAATAATGATCCAAACAATAAACCTAGCATGTCACTAATAATTAGTTTCTCTTTTTCTTTTTTTCCTAATAACCAACATGAACCTAGCTAGTCAATCAAACATAAGTCAACTTGACTAGTTATGAAATTGAGTTAATTACCGATTTGGTCCCTCGACTATGAGGATTTCACCAATTTAGTCCTTGACTATCAAAATTTCTCAATTTAGTCCCCGACTATGTTAGTTTTACACGAAATGGTCCTAGAGTCAGAATTATTATTTTGAAGGCATTAAAACTGAGGATATATTTGTAATTTCACTTTACAAATTAACATTCCATATTCCCATTAATCAGATTCATCGCATTCCATTAATCATATTCTTCACAGTCTTCAGCTCTTCGCCAAAAAGTTTCGCCACCACCGTCGAATCAGATTCTTCGCATTCTTCGCCAACAAGTTTCACCACCACCGCCGGATACTCAGCTCGCCAGAGAGTCGCCAGAAATCGGGGAGAGGGAGATCAGAGAGCTGCTACCCTGGAGAAGCTGCACTGCGGGAGGGGTTCTGTTCGCGTCGGACGCTAGAGCTCGCCGGATCTTCTTGTCGTTCTTCTCTGTCCTCGCCTTGAAGGACCAATCCATCGCGTAGCTCTGCTACTGAGCTGGGGGGGGGGGGGGGGTCTCCAGAGTACGTCGTCGACCGGAGAAGGGAAGGAGTTGTGTTGCCGCTGGTGGTTGATGTACCTGTTCTTCATAGACACGTCACCTTGAGTTTAGACCCGCATGGTTGAAACCTTTTCTTCCTATATAAAACCTCTCTGCACTTTCCCTTCACCAAACTCCATACCCATTCTCTTCAACTGCTCTCTGAACTATGGCTTTCTCTCTAAGATTCACAATCAATCAAAGGTCAAAACTTCCTCAATTTTCTTGTTGTTTTGGTGTGTGTTCAATTCTTCTTGTTATTCTTGCTCAATTGTTTTTCATTCTTTCTTTTTCTTTTTTTAACTGGGAGTTTTTAGCTTGATGTTTTGATGAAACCTCATGATCTTATTGGGATTTTTCTTGGCATTTAAATGTTTGTTCTTTGTTGTCTATATTGTGACTGAACCTATGTTGTGTGATGATGGTGTTATGGAATGAAATTAAGGAATTGCATATGAAAGTAGCTTGTATTGAGTGGGATCAGAGAAAATCATTATGAAGATTGCTTAAATTGTAGATGATCTCAGCTCACCATCTCAAGGAAGAGAGCTGCTACTCGCTGGATCTATGCTGTTGGGCGAGAAGGAGTGACGGAGCTTCGCCGGCAGTTGCTCTCTACGCCGTCGTCCTCGTGAATCTGAGAGAGACGAGAGCAAATTAGGGAAGAAGAGATTATTTTTTCAAATCCCAAGTGTACCCTTTTAGTTTGACCAGAAAATTTGACTGAGGACCATTTTGTGTAAAAATAACATAGTCGAGGACTAAATTGAAAAATTTTGATAGTCGAGGACCAAATTGGTGAAATCCACATAGTCGAGGGACCAAATCGGTAATTAACTCTTATGAAATTTATTAGTTATGTTGATGTACCCTATAAGAATTAGTTCATACAACTTACACTTATAACATTAGTGCTCTAGGCTATCATATCCATTTAATAGCACTAACGTGCCACCTAACCAATTGATGACGAGAATCGTCTAGATCTCTTCGATTCAACTAAGTTAGTCAGGTTGTTGATTTTGTAATCACAATGTTGAGGTTGACTCCCAACGGGAGTGATCTATTGACTTTATTGGTTTGAATTAGTTAGTTATGATCAACTTAGACTAAATCACTTCATTGTGGTTTTTGTTGATTAAGATCACAAGGTGTTGTTTACCTATTAGATACCATCAGGCATTACTACATGTATCCCTCGTCAGTTGTCATTAAAAAAAAGGAGGATCACTTGATATGGGTCATCAAAGCACAAACTATATAAGTATAAATTGGATATTTTTTAAGCAAACGAGGAATTTCATTAATATAACTTCGAATACACCATATTACAAATAAAAGAAAATGGGTAGTTGATCAAACCACTCCCTACAATAAGAAATGTTATCTTTAGTGCTCCTCTTACGATTTGAGTACCCATGAATTAGCCCATGGCTTCACACTTCTAAAAACTTATAACAAGTTTTAATTTACCCATATAATTTTATTTTTTTTACCAAAAACTTGTATTGTACATGTTGGAGCTATCGAACCACCTCGTATTCAATCATTAATACACTACCACTTCCTTATCGTTGTAATGTATTGTAAATTTAGATTCATACATCTCGCACCGATTCATACATCTCCCATAATTTATGCTATGAATATTCAAAAGGTTGCAATCAACAAGAATCAAGTAGTAATTAGCAAATGATCATGTTACATTTCATTGTATTACTAATTAATAATTATAAAATAGATAAAACATATGAATAGCTAATTCATATGAACAAATACTACATTGTAATAGAGTATAGTACTAAAAAAATCATTATTGAGAAAAAAGACTCAGGATGATGATTCCTTGTGCGCGCATAAAATTAGAGACTGGTATTGTTGGTTTTAGGGTTTTTGGGCTCAGGGAGGTCCAACACAACCTTGGTCGGTGGATTCACCTTTCACATGCGGCTTATAGAAAAATAAGTAGAACAAATATAACTCAATGCTTTTTGTACGTGGAAACCGAAAGGAAAACCACGGGCCTTTTTGGGCGGTGCCAAGCCTAAATTCACTATGTATTTTGGAGGTGTCTTTGTACATATTGCAGGGCTATTTTGTGTATATGATGTTGTGTAGAGATAGAACTACTATACTTTGTACATTGAGAGGGAGTCTTCTTCATGTGTGGAAGAGTGGTGGAGCCTTCTCATATGGAGTCTCCTTCATGTGGTCTTCTTACTTAGATGATTAGAGAGTGGTTGTGGAAGAGTGCTTTCTCTTTGGGAGAGTGATAGAGTCTTCTTGGGATGAAAGAATAGTGAGTGGTAGGATAATACTTGGGAGAGTCCTCCCACATGTAGATGAATGAGTGAAGTCTTCTTAAGAGTGTTTGTGGGAGAGTGATGTGTGGCCTCCTCGTATGTAAGAATGGTTGCCCCCTCACTTCTAACTCCCTTCCTCTTTTTATAGTAACAAGCCAAGTAGTAACTGTTGGGTAGGCATTCACTAGTAATTAGTGGGTTTAATACTAGGAGAATGATGGCTAATTAATAATGGAAACAATAATTTGTATAGGAAATGAAAGGGTGGCAACGGCTAGTCAATGGGTGTTTGAAGGTGATTTAATAGGGGTTTTATGAGTAGTAAATAAGAGGTTATGGTTGTTTAAGTAAGGGAAATTAATGGGTGATAATGGGGTAGTAATTAGGGTAATAAATAGGAGATTAATATGAGATAACGGCTAGTTTTAGGCCGACCGTGCCGATTCCATACTCGCGCCGACTTCCGGGTCGAGTCGATTCTTCGGTTTGGTTCGTATCTCTTTTGGGCTTACTCCATTTTTCTCTTGGACTTCTCTTCTTTTTCTTGGGCTTGATCTCTTTTCTTCTTGGGCCCGAGCCCACGGGGTTCACACCCCATCAGGTATAAAGATTATAATATGATCGATTGACTGATTATGCAATATTATGAATTTAAAATTAATTTGACAAAATTGAGATGACCAAAACATTAAAAAAAAAAAAAAAAAATCAAATTGGAGTCAAAACATGGTCAAAACTCAAAACCCCTAAAAAAGATTTTACACTTTCTATTCACGGACGACACAGTCACTGTTCCTTCCCCCTCCTCCTCCGCCATCGCTTTTCCCATTTTCTTCTCTCTACTATTCTATACATACACGTAGAAGATATATTGATTATACTATATACATAAACAACATACGTAGCAGGTATTATACACAACTATACATACGCAACACTTGAACAAATTTTGGGCCGGGGTTGGTATAGTAACAATGAGCAATGGCAGCAGCATGAACAGCGGTGCTGGAGGAGGAGCAGCGTCAAGGGTTTCAATCGCGAGCAATGTGCGGGAGACGATTCGGCAGATAAAGGAAATCACTGGGAATCACAGTGAGGAGGAGATATATGCGATGCTTAAAGAATGCTCCATGGATCCCAACGAGACTACGCAGAAGCTCCTCTTCCAGGGTGTGTCCCGCCCCCCTGCTTTTCTGTTCCTTGTGATTCAGTGTCTGCATGCATTTCCGTTATGATATTATGACCTTGGTGTCTATACATTCGTAAATCGTGTTCGCTATGAGTGAAATAGGTTTCATATTGATTTCATTTGTGATCAGTAATGCTGTTTAGTTATCTGGTATGACATTCTTTTGATTTGATTATTTCTCTGTTTTCTATTTTTTAATTGATATTTGTATTTATGATTTAGCTAATTTAGTTGGGCTATGTTCATTTGCTTAAGACTGAATTACATATAGGCTATATGCATCTGTTTCAGACTGAGCTAAACTGCCAGGGGAGGGCATGGAGAAAGGGACTAACTTGGTGTCAATATTGATATTTTCTCATGCCTGTTAATTAAGAGTACAGTATTGATTTCTGATTGCAGGTGGAAACAGGAAACCCTTGCCTTTGATAATTGGCATTTCTTGAACTGCTATCTTTGTAGTTTCTGTTGTTTATTTTTTTTTTCCTTGGTATTTTTTGGATGCTATCTGTTGTTCAATTGGGAGCATTTTATTTAAATATTAAGCTGGTTTTATTAATTTGTTATATAAGTGTTAATTTTTCATTCAAGCCCTCCCGGTCCTCCATGATGTTTACCGTCTACAGTTTCAGTTTGATGTTAGTGTAGTACGATTTGAAATGTGTTTATGAAGTAGCCCAATCAGAGAAATTCCACCTTGTAGGAGCTCAAATGCTGTTATTTTGTTTTAATTTTCCTTTATTCTCTTGATAAGTTATTTTGTATCATTATTGTCTTGTCAAATTAACTGATTAATTTCTTTTGTTGTAAAATGCACCATTAATTCATCGTATGCATGCGTGGTTTAACAGTTTCATGAGTTGTTATGTTTTAGTGAATTCCTTTGGAACATCCATGAATTTAATGGGTAGTTTTTCCCAGCACCCCATTACCTAATAATCACACACACAGAAACTCATTTTCTTTGGCAAAATTACAATCACCTATCTGTTTGCAGATACCTTTCATGAAGTAAAGAAGAAACGTGACCGGAAGAAAGAGGTAAATTATTATGGAATTTGAACATAAGCAATTGTATATGCTTGGGATGGCCTATGAACTTATAGCAATGGTCAAACTTTTTTATCAGAAAATTTCTGTAAAAAGATCAAAAGCCATCCAGGCATTTCTTAAAATGTTGACAAAATAATATGCAAAAGCAATCAAATTATTTAAGGTTGTAATTATGCATGGCCAAACTGTGAGAAGACCCTGAAAATGTTCTCACATACAGTCTCCGATCCTTCCCTCTCTTGTTGTAACTACATGGTGCCTGAACTTGCATCTCTATGTTTTGAAATGGTAAAGATCAAAATAAAAGAGTTTGGCTTAAATCCCTGTGAAATGTCTTTACTACACTTTGTTGCTCCTAAACCACCCTTCACAAGTTTTTTTTTTTTTTTTTTTTTTTTTTTTTTTTTTTTAAGAAGCTTCATTTCAAATTTTCCTGGGTGGAGGTCTAAGTTTAACACCCCTAAAGCGGAATAAAAAAGAAATATAAGGACTTCCTTTCCATCTAATATGTGCGTAAGTCCTTTGCTATTTGCAATGTTGAGATTGCCCTTATTGAGCCAGTGTTGTTTTTGAGTGTTACAATTTATCTTCTTGATTTGCCCAACAAGCACATATGCTTGTAGTGGTGAGCATGTTCTATTTGATAAAACATCAGCAGTCTATTATTTGCACCTTGCTCTCACTGTTCTCCTTTATTATGATAATCTTAGTTCTTGCTTCCTTTTTCCTTCTAATTTAGTATTGCAAAAAATAAATGAAAAAAAAAAAACATTTTCCTTTGTAGAATATGAACAAGGGGTTTGCAAAGCCTAATTGGAAACCGGGCATGCAGGGGTGCTGGAATAAGGGTGGCCATGGAAACTATCCATCTCATTATGCATCTCATGGTAACCTCCTTTAATCCATTATTGTGCTAATTTTCAGGAATATAGTTCCCTCAGACTGATAGGCATTGTTCCAAACTGGTTGTGTTTTCCTGAAATCTTTATTTTGGAAGTTTTGGTGTTTCATGAATATTCTTCTTGTAATAAGTGCCTCCCATTTTAGAGCTAATCACACTGCATTTGATCAGATTCCCTTCAACTGTAGGCCTGTAGTTCTGCATACCGATCTCAATTGAATATGCTTGTGCTCCTTTTTTGCAATTATTATCTTTTTTATAAATAAAAAAAAAAAATTGCAAGCCATATGCTACATTTATAATGATATAATTTAACTAGTATGTTGTAAAATGTAATATTGGTATTAAATGTATTCAGGGAATAACATAGATGTCACACTATGCCAAAGATCTTGTAGTCTAGTAGCATAAGCCTGCCCCTAGGTAGGAGGCTTTAGGTCCAAACCCCATTCCCCTCAGATGTACCAAAAGAAAAATTGATGCCACACTATTATCATAGGATATCACAGACAAAAGCTAGCAAGTTCTTTCCAATTCTTTATGTAACCCTTAACTTTGATCATAAATGTTGCGTGCACACCTTGTTAGATTCTGGCAGGGGAAAAAACTCTGGCAAGGAAAACCAAACCAGCCAAATGTTGGAGAAGAGCATTAGCCGTACCTCTGTTCCTACTCTACGGGAGGAGAAAAGTATTTCAAGGTGGTGCAGATGTGAAGTTTGGTACTTGTGTGTGATTATCTGCTTTTGTATCCATGCTCCTTTAAATGGTTATGCTAACTTTTATGACCTATAATAACATATTCTGTACAAGTTCACCACCATCCAATTTTTCTTAGTGGTGTAACAATGATGTTCTTGTTATTGCAATCTTCCTTCTTCAGCTTGTCAATAGCCTTACCTAATGGATCAAGCAGTGGATCTTCTGGATCAGATGCTGGTGATGTTAGTGGTAAGTTGGAGGGGCAGCAATGTCCAGCACCAATTGATGCAAGGAAAAGCCCTAAAGTTGGACAATGTACTAGGGATACACATAGGCATCCTAGTATGAATGGCAACACTGCTACATCAACTGCTTTAGTTCCCTCATCAAGAGCTTATTTCTCAACATCAGATCCAGTGCTATTGTCTTCACAAGATTCACAATCTATTGGTACAGTGGAAGGACTTAGATGTGAACTTGGAAGCCAGCATGTCCCTGTTAAACATGCCCCTTCTGACTCTAATGACAGCAAGACACCCTCTGGTAATCTTTATAACAGGATTGAAGTGTGCCATTCTTTTCTCCTTTTCTACTTACTTTTTCTTCTTGTTCAAATCAGAGTGTCCAGGTAATTATATGCAAAAAAGTTGCTCCTCTAATCTTTCTTATGAAATGTTAAGTTAAATAAAATTGCATAATCAGTAAACATTTTTTACTACAAGTTTGAAACCAAATTCATTTTGGATCATCAAAGAAGACATTGATGGATGGCATAATCCCATTACCCTGCTAGTTTCTTTCCATTTTTCATCCATGTTGGAGGACATTTTGTTTCTATCCTGCCAAACGTTTTACACCTCCAAATGGGTATAAAATGTTTTGCAGACTTTCTCCTTTAAGTGAACAATGAAAAATGTGAAATAACTTAGGCAATAAAAAGAAACTACTCCGTCTTTTACAGTTATACACCAAATGAATGGGCATTAGTGTATTAACTGAAACTTTCTCTGTTTTGTAACAGCTAGCATTGCTAAAGATTGGAAGCTGAAGGCTGCAAATGCAAATTCTGCTCAGGCATCTGATGCAGGCACTTCAGCTGAACTTTCTATGGTTTCTGTTGAAGCCCAAACTGAAAGGAAGCCTAGGCCAGATGTTATGGAACTTCAAAAGAAGTTAAAGGAGTCGATGAACATTTTGGAAGTTCGACATGTTATTATCCCAAGTCACTTTCAGGTTCTTGAAGCTGAAAAACTTGGGTTTTGTTTTGGAAGCTTTGATGCTAACTATTACTTAGACACAAATTCAAACAATGTACCTCAGGATGACAAGAAGCCACTTATTTCCAAAACTACTGAGCATATTGAAGAAACTGCAAGAGAGCAATTTCCAAGGTCTCTCTCTCCTTCCCTCCCCCAATCCCCCATAGTATGGAGTAATAATGTTCCTTTGATTTATAAATTCTTCTTATAAATTTATACTTTGCTCAGAGAAAGATGACAAACAGAGGCTGTTATTATTTTATGGCAAGTGTAAATAACACCAGTGCTTGTGGAAGTTAAAAAGGATATGTAAACTTAGAAATACTTCTTTCCATTGGATGTACACACTGAAATAAAATAGGCTTCTTTTTTTTTTTTTTCCCCTTTCCCTTCACTCCCTTAAATATTAGTACATCCATTAAAAGGAATTTTTGTTTTGTTTATATTTCTAAAATTATTGGCAAAAGTAGGATGACTTAAAAAAGGAATTATGTATATGAGACACTAAACTCTCCATTCTCATATTGAGTTCTATTTCTGTCCAACTTCCTCTTCCTTTTCCAATGCAGTCAATGATGAAATTAGAAATTTAACATGACATAGGTGATTAACTTAATAGGGTGGTTAATTAATTAATAGAAGAATCTTATTACTGCTTGTAAGTTCTGTTTTTAATGTTTTCGTATCTTTATCTTTTCTTTTTTAATCTTTTTTTTTTTGTTTGCTTCTGTGTTGGCCTCTAGGGAAAACCTTTCTAAAAAAAACAGAGATAAGGCTGTGCACACTTCCCTGTCCTTCGCTTCACTGTGCATTTTCCTTCTTTTATTTATTTATTTTAATAATAGATTCATCTAATGGTAACCTAAAAAATTTAAAAAGAAAAAACCTTTCATCTAATTGTAGAAATGATACATATGAATATCTATTTTGTGTGAGATTGACATTGCTTTTCCTCTTGAATTGTCGATCACCTATTCACCTTATGTTTTCTGATGAACATTAACAATATGCTCATTATCCTACCATTTTTCAGTGAGTTGATTTCATAATTGGGTGCAGGAATGAAAGTGAATTGACAACTGTAGATGTAGATGTGGCAGAAGATTTTGATCATCCTCAGTTGTCTTCACATGGGCAGGAGAATCCTCCATCCAAGGGAGATGAAGTCTTGCCCTCTGCTCCAAAATACAAAATATTAAAACAAGAGAGTGTGCATGGAGGACAGCAACATTCTGCCGTTCATACATCTCCCAACTACAGCTTTGGTTTCATGCCGCCAATATTAGGCAGTCAGCTTCGATCTTTTGACAGCTGTGATTCTCAAACTAGTGATGTGTCTTGTCCTCCAAACTTTGTTGTAAGCTCTATTCTCTGGCCTCTATGTTTACAGTATATAGGTTTTTTTTCCTCCCTTAGTTGTTAATTCTGTTTTCTGAAATTACAAGTCTCACTCTGCCCAGGTATATTACTATATTGTGCCTTTCAGTTAATCAAACAATTTTTTATTTTTTATTTTCCGAAAATTTGCTTTAAGCTCATTCTATTTTGGGAATTTGATCAGTTCATTTGAACTTTTTTTTTTTTTTTTTGGTCTTGCTATCCACAAACTAACAACTAACAAATGCCACTTGTGTGGAGTGCACTAAACCTTCTGAGTAAAGATGAAACCTGTAAACAGAAAGCTTTCAATTGAACATTTGTCTTATGTATGAAGGTATATCTAGTTAAAAATGCAATAAGCTAGACTGCAAAGTTATTGTTTAATGCTTGATTATCATATGTTTGCTTACTGTTGTATTATTTAAATGAATTTAGGGTGGCAGCCACCTGGTTTCATCTACAGCAGCTGCAACACCGCTTGTGACTCAACTTTCTGGGCTTATGCAAAGTTCTATAGGTGTAACTCAGCCGCCTCTCCCTCTATTTCGACAACCAGCTGGAGTGCACCTTCCTCATTATATTCCATATGGTCACTATTTGTTACCATTTTACATTGCGCCACTGACAATCCAACAATTATTTAGCAATGGTTCATTACCTCAGCAACCTCTGGCTGGCAGTCTATATCCACCACCACCACCACCACCACCACCAGTTGCCAAATATTTACCATCACAATATAAGCAGGGGTCTAATTCGGCAAACGTAACTCACATTGGGGCCCCTGGTAACTATGGACCACATGACTCTACAGCCAATTATAATCCTGCTTCTGCAACAGTTGGGAACCCGTCATCTAATGATGAAAATTCTGCATCTCAATTCAAGGTGAGTGTCTATGTTGGCTTATCTTTGATTTAAGTACCACATACAACTCGGTGCAATATTTTCATGCTTTGTTTTTCTGGACATTCGTTTTACTTAGAACTCTACTGTTTTGCTTGGTATGATAAGAGGGGAAGTAAAACAACTTTACTTACATTGTTACATCCTAATCCTATTCTTTTTCTGTCTTGCTGTTTACCACTTTACCTAATATCTTGTGGTTGTGTTGGTGAAAGCGAAATACTTGTGTTTCATCTCCTGATCTTTTTTGAAGGGCCAATAGTGCCACCCGGTTTTCAATTTGCAGGCGAGCTCCTTCTATAGTTCTCCTCGGGGTCAAGTGGCATTTACTACACCCCCGCAGCCTGTTCATGGAACGGCCTCTGGTCTTTACCATCCGGTGCCTCCTGTGACGACCCCTACTGTTCACCCCCTGCTACAACAGTCTCAATTGTTGGCTGGACCACTTGATATTGTGGGACCCGCAGCCAGCATATATCATCAACCACTACATTCACATATTACCTGGCCAAGCAGCTACTAAGCTAGCAATATAGTTTTCCACTGTAAAACAGGAACAAGAATTCATACTCGGAAATGAGGTACGATGATACAGAGATTGATAGTAAATGATGAAGGTGGCCTAGGTATCTTTTTATTGCTCGGGCCGAAGATTGAAAGGATGAAACCAACCATCTTATGAGAGAATCAAAGTTTTATACGGATATTACTTTAGCAGTCCTACTGAAATTGTTTTCTCATCAATTTGCCAAGGGCCATCTAAGTCTTCAGTTTCTTAGGATCAGCATGGAGGGTCAAAAATCTTTATATTTGCTTTCTTGCTTTCTCCTTTTGGAAGGTTAGGACTCAAAAAAGCAAATCAGTTTTGGGTGTTCAGGGAGTTTAGATATACTTTTGTTTCTCTTCATCATATGCTTCAGCAGCTTTTTTGTAAGGCATTTTGACAGCAAGCTAAGGTGTATCAATACTGTTGTAACCACTAACCAGTAGCTGGTATAAACAAATTTGAGGCAGTAGTTTGAATTTTTGTTTGAGTTAATTCCATTTTTTATTATAGATTTATAGATGACAGTTCACTAAATCCTTTTTTTATTAGAACATTCACATTTGGTCCTAGTATTATTCTGGCATGATCATTTTTCTTCTTTTATCAACAAAACAGTTTTTTTTTTTTTTTTTTGAATGCAACAAAACAGTTTAAATATCATTAAATACAATGATATTTTAGTTTTCAATTATGATTTTTTTAAAAATAAACATAAAAAATATAGCGGTTCAACTTACTTTGTATAAAAAAAGATTGAAATGTTTTTGTATTTAAGTGCATTTTAACAATCTTGCTAACGAAAACTAAAAATGGTCCCAAAAAGTCAACAACGTATCCACTATAGTTCGATTTCATGGCCTCCCATATAAGAGAGGTCATTATATGTCATAAAGTGCTGGGCAAATAAGGATGTTCTAATAAAAAAAGACCTAAAAGTGGATTGTGACATATCAATTTAGGACTAAAAATTGAATTAACACTTTTATTGCTTTATCATAGAGTTAATTCCAGCAATAGTCCTCCGACTATAGTGATTTTCCAAAATTAGTCCTCGACTTTTAATTTGGACACTTTAGGTCCCTTGACTTTCAATTTATTTCCAATTGAGGTCCTTTCGTTAGAATACGGTTCATTAGACTTTAAATGAAGGGGTAAACTCGTCCTTTCACATGCCTATGTATTATTCTTCGTATTTCTCCCTTCGTATTTCGTTGTTATACCTTGTAAACATCTCAATAATAGAGAAACGCACACACGAGTAGTCAGCAAATGGAGAACGACGAGGAACATTTTAGGGTTTCGACTAAGATTATCTTCATATATATCGCATATACAATGGAGAAATATTAAGAATAATACATAGGCAGGTGAAATGATGAGTTTACCCCTTCATTTAAAATTCAATTAACCGTATTCTGACGAAAGGACCTCAATTGGAAAGAAATTGAAAGTCAAGGGACCTAAAGTGTCCAAATTAAAAGTCAAGGACTAATTTTGAAAAATCAATATAGTCAGAGGACCATTGTTGGAATTAACTCCTTTATCATATTAGTGCGACAGAATCTTCCTAGTGTTAATATAAATTCCTTTGGAATATGTGATTATCTAAATGTCTATTGCATATTCGGCTATGCAGATTACAGACGAGAAAAACAAACAGTTAAAGCCACGCTTGCCGGCTCTACTATTCGTAGAAACCTAGTATTTGAAGCTCCTATTTTAAGGACAAACATTTTCTCTTGTTCCATTGGTCCTAAGATCATATCCCTCCTTCATTCCCATAACTCTTAGCTCTCCGACCAATATAATGCTAAGCAAAATCATCGTCATCTTCCGAAAGCCTAAGCCATCTCCGGCCCGCCGCTCCGGCGACGACCACAACAACAACAACCCTCGGTCGTCGTCGGCCTTAAAGATCATTCACCCCGGCGGCACCACGGAGCACTACTACATGGCCACGCCGGCGGCGAGGATCATCGACGAGTACTACCCGTCGTTCATTCTAGCCAGGCCCGACGTGTTCCGGAAGCCATGGGAATCAGTAGTCAAGCGCGACGAGATTCTAACTCCCGGCCAGAAATTCTTCGTCGTCCCCAGGCAAACGATCAAGAAACTGAGGAGAAGGATAAAGAAAGTCGTCGTCCCAAGCAATCATATTAATGCATCGTCGTCATCGGATCAAATGATGATTTCGTTGGCCGAATCCTCGTCTAGCGGTTCGTTCCTGCAGCGAAGCATAATCAAGGCGGCTAGCGAGAAGACGGAGCAGAGGAGCCATCGCCGCCGTGTAAGATTCTTTGGGGTTGATAATGACGTGGAGGATTCATCGGATTTTGCAACTTCGTCGTCTGAGAGCAATGGCCGCGGCTCCAAATCTCGCCGGGAGCAGAGAAAACGGCGGGGACGAGCATGGAACCCTTCGCTTACTGTGATCACTGAGAAGTGAGAACTCCGGCCGGCCGGCCGGCCGCCATGATTGCTGATGATCGAACACCATGCATGCATATGCTTTGTCAACATTTTAACTAACAATCCTTTTAATTTGTTGTTTGTATCACATGACCATTGGAAATTCATCAATCATATATCTCAATATAGATTTTTTTTTTTTTTTTTTTTTTTTTGGTGCTAATAATATTATATTTGAGACTGGGGCTGAGGCAGAAAATTCATTTTAAGCTGATTGTAACAAAAATTTGCAATCTTATTCAACATTAGTATCTTAGCTTAATGGTTTAGTGGATAGTATTTGAGAGAAGATTAGTATCGATCATAAATGATATCATTATATATGCTATACATAATGTATCATGTATGATGTATTATTGATAATAATTTTTAATGATATTTTATGTAACGTTTGACATCAATGTGGATACTTTATAATATTTCACCTAACACAATAAATCAATAATAATCTTGATTATCACTATTTGTGTGTTAAGTTACATGATGGGCTTTACTTAGAACATCCTTTCAAGTAACAAGTAACGACTTTATGTTTTCCGGTAAGTCAAATAAAAGTCTTTGTGCCATTGGAAGTGTGCGGATGACCTACCACCTAATAGTGGGAGAATGCACCATTTCAGAAATCTAATTCGTACATTAATTCGCTCCGCAATGTGAAATTTTAGATCGTGAGTACTTTAATATTGTAGTTAATAAAGTTTGACAAAATGCTTCAAGGTTTTTATTTTGTATACATCTATGCTGATGAGAGAGAAGTGAATTCAAACTATGTTTTTTTTTTCTAAAGATATATTTTCTTCAAAATTATATCTTAAATTAAAAAAAAAAAAAGACCATACAATAATGCATGTCAACGATGTCACCGTTACATGATAAAAGAAATTTTAGAAGGCTTAAAAATGATAACTTTAAGTCTTTAACCGTACGTCTTACAAAAAATGTTGAATGCGTATCGCATTTTAAGAGTCACGTGAGGTAACGATACCCGTATGTCAAAAGCGCGTGATGAGAACAGAGAAAGAATCGGGAAAAAGTCATAACTCACAAGTCAATAAAGTGCACAGGAGGACCTAATTCTTCTGTTTACTCTTCCCCTAAAAATTCTGTCCTACAAAAGTTCCCTCCAACAATCCCAACTCCTTGTATCAATCGTCCTCTGCAAAACTTTGCCAATTTTCTACCCTACCAATTCAGGTAAGAAGCTATCTTAATGGCTTTGTATATATGCATTTTTCCCTCAAAATACATTCATCTTTTATTCTATATCATCATCATCATTAGTATCCATAAATATATGGATTGAATTGACAAATTGCCGTTGTTTTTTTCATGTTTTTCTTCCAATAATCTGATTTTGTCTCTGCTAGTTTCACCTGCATTCATGGCAGAAAGGAATTTTGTTTATCAGTTTATGCAATTATTTCCTTTTTTTTTTTTTTTTTTTTTTTTTTTTTGTATTTTAATGGATATTGTGGTTGGCGTAAGGATGGCCGAGCAACAAACAATGGCGTCGGAACAGCACGACGATGATATCGTGCCGCCACATATATACGTGGATACGCCTGTGAAGGCCTACACACCTTCGGTGGCCTCGCTGCCGTCGTCTCCGACCGGCCTCCGGAAAACCTGCCTCTGCTCGCCGACCACGCACGCCGGCTCCTTCCGGTGCCGCTACCACAGGGGCACCAAGCTCACGCGCGGCAGCATGTCCGTGGCCTCCAACCTCTCCGAGCTCGGCAGCACCTCCGTCGCCAACAGGCTCTCCGAGTTCTCTAAGCGCAAATAGGCACGCGCCGCCGCCATTAAGAGAACAATGTCCTGTGACTTATAAACAGTCTCTCTGTTTCTGTAACTACATATGATGCATAGTTAAAACAAAATTTATACATTCCCCCGGGGCCCCCGCTCTGAGAGGTTAAGATTAGTCTAATCTAAGCTAGAAATCTAATGTATGAAAATGAAAATTTATACATAAAATTTCACTTACAAACCCTTTTCAAGGGTTCAAGCTCACTCAACCAGACTATAATGCATAAGAATTAAACTACTAAAACCAATCAATTAGTAGTCTAACTTTATAAACCCATATATCGCTTCTTATTTTTTCAATGTGGGACACTCTTAAGACTCAGATTACCTGAAAATTTAAGCTTCGGAATTAGCACAGAAAGAAAGATCAGAGCATAAACATGATCAGTTGGTAGAGAACTGAATGCCTGAAAATTTTGTGGATTGCAGAAGTGTTCTTAGTATATGTACAGCAATGTATATTGGTCACGAGGACCCGTCGCTGCTAGAGGACGCAAACATTGCCTGATGAACATAGGTATACAACTACGACGTGGTGTCTTAACAGCCCGAGCAATGCTCGGTCTGAAGACGACTAAGCTGTACAAACGAGGGGTTTCGTCTCGGTTCTCGCAAACATCTAATGACTCACATTGGGCAACCATCGTCCTCTCCTTGCGGGATCATGTAGTTCCTGCAAAGCGGGCAGGTGACGTTCCAGTACTTGAGCCACTTCTCGAGGCAGGCCGTGTGGAAAACGTGCCCACAAGGCAGCTGGTTTATCTCGGCATCTGGCTTGAACTCTGCCAGGCAAACAGAACACTCTTGCTCTGGGTTGTTAGAGATGCACATTGCGTCGTACCGGATGGGGGGTGTTCGGCTGCGAAACTCCTCTATGTAGGACTCCGAGGGGGTTCCTCGACACTCGAGGGTGTCCAAGGGGCCTTCAATGGTGTAGTCTTCCCAGGATGCAATCCGGATGCCAATGACGCTAAGGATTGACCGGACAATCTCCTTGACAATCGAGATGGATATGGCGGTATTGACCAGAATCACGCACAGAACACCCGCATCTGCAGGTGTAGAATATGGCGAGAGACCCATACTAGACTCGAAACCTGCCAACAAACATGACTTTGAAGCTCAGCAAATTCCCTTAATAGAAATGAACTAATGGAAAGACTTGAACAAACAAAACAACATAACTGCATGGACATTCACATCCTTTCCTACAAGATGAGAGACTAATCTAGTCAAATCCCGGTCGGGTTCATTCGGGAGACAACCCTCCCGAGGGCACAATGATGGTACAGATGAGACTGATCTAATCAAATCTTAGTCAGGCTCATTCGGGAGCAGCCCTCCCAAAGGCGTGAGACTAATCTAGTCAAATCTCATTCGGGAGACAGCCCTCCACGGGTGCCATGACGGGACTAATCTAGCCAAATCTCGTTTAGGGTCATTTGGGAGGCAGCCCTCCCCTCCCAAGGACACTGTTACATTCACATGAATTCGGAATCTAAAATTTATTATTAATTTGGTTCTTAATCTAAAAGTTATGGAAGCACAAGTGTCCACCAATCCTTCATTACATACAATTTACAAAGGCTGATCAGGTGCAGAGCAATGAACCCTTCATTACATACAATCAAAACTGGTTAACAATCTTAACATTGGGCAACCCAACCAAGTTGATCGGGTCATTGACGGGTAACAACAAAGTTCCAAGTTTGACCTAAGTTATTGAAGCATTTGCAGATTTGCTTCATCTTAACTAAAAGTCTTAGCTGATAATTGGATTTCACATTAATGGTTATATGCTAAACAGGTCGGTTGTTAACTTGGTATCCAAATTCGACCCGTGTAAGCAACCTATTTACCTTCTTGATATGAGCCGATAAGCTATGAACAACCTAGACAGAATTTGGTAAACCCGAGACGGGGTTATCTCGGGTTTACCAAATTCAGAGCACATGAAACAACTAACCACTTAAAACAACACAGGACTCAAAGGTGATGGAGGATGATTACATCATAGCAAACTACAAGAGACAGCAGTATACAAAAATTTTACCTTCTGCCTCTGAGCAAAACCAACAGAACTCAATACACAGGATCTGCAAAAAAAAAAAAAAAAAAAAAAAAAAAAGGACAATATCACATCAAATCCCTTTTTCACAATCCAAATCCTGATTACAAGAAAAGGGCTAAACACAGATCCACCAAGTGAAACACTATCATATATATATGCCATTCTTTTCAATGAAAGATATGGGTAGTTTCTTCCTATCTTGAGAGAAAATTACAAAATCTTTTATTTCAACAAAAGTTTGGATAGGGAAAGAGAAAAGAGAAACCTCTTCTGGGAAATTTCTTGAATGAATTGCAGAATTAGACCAAGCAAGAAAAGAAAGTTGAGATCACCAAATAGATAGAGTTGCAAGTTGCCACCCCAAAAGGGCTAAAAACTGAGATCTATACACAGATCACACCCACTTCCCATGTGAAGCCCATCAATAAAAAGAACAGCTTTTTGTGAACCAAAAAAGGGATAAAAAGCAAAAGAAAAAGAAGAAAACCACAATAGAAGCAAGTGGGTACTACTTACACAGAGATGGAGGTGCAGAAGTTTGATCCCTTTGGCAAGAATCTGATGTTCTTATTAGTGTTCAGAGAAGAAGAAGATGAAGTTTGGGAGTTATTAGAGATTCATATGAACCCAAAGGAAAGAGATTGGTACAGTGGTGTGTTGTATTGATAATGGCTGATGATGTGAACCTGCCATAACCTCCAAATACCACCCCAACCCCCCTCCCCCATTTATATAATCAGACATTCTTGGCCCAATCCTAATTTTTTTAATACATTAAATTTTCAGCTTACGTCAAACTAATTTAAATTTTTAAAGTTTTTTTAAATAACTTTTTAATGAATAAATCTAAGTTACTTTTTCACCTCTTATGTGTATACTCTGTGTATAAATTTTTTTTTATCATCTTTCCTAATAACTCTTTAAGTTTTTAGAATTTAAACACTTCTTTATGACTTTAAATTTTCAGAATTCGAACCTCTACATTATGACTGAGCAAAACTTTAGAGTGGGCCTCACCACAAATTTTGTCACTTTCCCTAACTGCATCACTGCATGTTCCATGTTGAACCCATCAGTGTGTATATATAATTAGTGTATTTCCAACTGTAAAAATCCTGACAAATATAAATTGAACCAGACAAACGAGTTATCTCAGTCCTGGAAATACAGTATCAAAATGGATATGGATCCTTGCGTGCACCGTTCAACCTTGTAATTTGTTAGGAACTAAAATATCATACTTACCTGATAAACACTCAATCTAAAAATCTGAAACTTTAACTCCACTCCAAAAATTAAGAATTTTGGCCCTGTTTGGTAAATGGCTGTTACTATGCCCTGGACCCGTGTCCACAACATATTATGGACATCAGTTCAAAACGATGTCGTTTTCAGGGAAAATGCGTTATTTCAGTTAAAAGAAATTTGATTTTGTCTCGGCGTTAACGGCGTTATTCGTTTGTGTCATTATGAATGTACAGTTATGAGATTATAAATGTACAGTTATGAAATTATGAATGTAAGTTATAAAATTATGAACACAGAGCTCTGACATTATGAACATATAGTGATAAAATTATGAACATAGAGCTCTAAAATTGTGAACATGGAGTTTCGAAAATTATGATTTTACAGTTATTGAATTATGAATGTATAGTTACGGAATTATGAATGTACAGTTATGCAATTATGAATATACAGTTATGCAATTATGAATATACAATTATGAAATTATGAACACAAAGCTCTGACATTATGAACTTACAATATGAACATATATGATAAAATTATGAATATAGAGCTTCGAAAATTATGAAGTTACAATTATTGAATTATGAATGTACAGTTACAGAATTATGAATGTACAGTTATGGAAGTATGAATGTACAGTTATGAAATTATGAACATAGAGCTCTGACATTATGAACATATAGTAATAAAATTATGAAAATATACTCCTATAACGAAGCGGTCTGAAATTAAAAAATATGTGGAAGATAACAGTGCCACTAACGGCACTGTTACCCGAGTCCAGCATGCATGCTGGACACGGGTCCATAGCATAACGATTGGCTGTTAGTTGATTGTGTTAATTAGAGAGTATAACTAGTTAATAACATTAACTGATTGTAGAAAAATGTTTGGTAAAATAGTTGTTAGCTGATATCTGTTTGGTATAATTTCTTTTCTCAAAAAGCAAATTGAAAAAACTGCTTTGAGAATTTGTTTGAATTTTAGCATTTTTAAAATTGATTATTTAATCAAGTCAAACAATTAATAGTAGTCAAATAAGCCAAATGGACTAATAGGCTAATATTTTACTAAACATAGCCTTTATCAACTATGAAATAGACTTAGTCCAAACTCTTCTTAATTCTCATTAAATTTATCAAAAACATTCATAATAATAGACACTCAACTTAGGGTGTGTTTGGTTCGCACATAAAAATTAGAACGATAATGAGCCGGGAATCAAATACTTTAATGGTAATAGATATTGGTGCAAGTATTTTGCATGTTTGGTAGTATGATAGGATTGGAATGATTTTTCAATATTGATGTTTGGTTATGTAAGACTGAATAAAAGTTTTAAAAATACAAAAAGAAAAAAGCACTATAATTAATCGTAATATAATGACATCTAAAGTACTAATATGAACAAAAAAATCAAAACAAAAATTTAAAAACACTAATTCAAATTTAGAAATCAAATTAAGAAGCAACATATTTATTAAGACGAGATTATTTTTATTTTTTGATGACCCAATTTTTTTTTTTTTTTACTTTGTCTGAATATATCTTGAACTCTATGAATAAACACGGTACTCATGTCCATAAAAAAGTAAATTAAACTAATATAACTTCGAAACTTAACATTAAATTGTACACTTTTGTGCATAAAGAGCTTAACTCAAACCTCGAGTATTCACGACAAGAGTCAAACTACTAGCTCGAAGTAAGTCTCAAAGTGAAATTTCTCATACATTAAATATCTAAGTTAGTTATCCCACCAAAAAATATATCTATAATTCACCGAAGATATTAATCACCATATTTAACGATGTAAATTCTGGACAAACCCGAATACCCTATAAATTGGAAGAAGATATAACACATACATACATTATTATTAATATTATTATAATGATGATCCTGAAAAGAGTACGTGTCCAGTTGTCGGAGCAACATTCACAGAATGAAATGAGGTGTCTTCCAATGGCCCCTTCGTCACTACCTTCATGGCCAAGTGGCATGCAACTGGGCGTGACGTGCCCAAAAAATATACCGCCGGGCGCCACCATATATCATATATATCTATATATGACTACATGTGAACATGCAGAATTAAAGTCATATATATATATATATATATATAAGAACGCTCATATGCGGCGGGGTCTTACGGTGCGGTGGTACGGTCAAATTTCAGAATACACCAACAGTGTTAACAATATGCACCAACAGTGTAATAAAAACACACCCCAATGAAATGTAATAAAACATCACAAAATACACCAGACTCAAAAAAACACACTATATAACTCACCACCCCCAATGGTGTATTTCCGAACAGTGTATGATGTTTTTACTCACACCTAATGGTGTGTTTTTGGTGATGCAGGGCTCTGTTTACTCTGTTTTGTGTGGTGTATTTCCTAACGTTGATGGTGCATATTTGGTGAACTATTGGTGTTGCCGCACCGTAAGAAATAACCGCACCGTAAGACACTGCCGCACCTGAACCCGCCTATATATATATATATATCGCTTTCTTGTGATGTGTATATATGAATACACACACCTACAAATTCCAACCACCATTAAGGAGCAGATAGAGCAAGAAAACGTATACGTGTGAATGTGATAGAGACCATGACATGACCCAACAACATGAATTACACACTTTTTTTTTTTTTACTATAATTGTAATAAATATAATATTGTAATTTTTTTAAAAAAATATTCAATAGTTATTTGTAAATTAATTGATTTAAAAGTCAAGTACCTTGTGCACAGATGGTACTTGGGTTGGACTCCTATATGAGAGGTTGTGAGTTTGAATTTTAGTGGGGGTGTTATTATTGGCTCTTTGTGCTTCAGTAGGTTGAGTACAAATTTTAGTGCGTGTTTCCCTGTTATCACAGAGATTTGGCTTGTATACTACAAAATCCTTCATAAGTGTTCTAACCCTCCATAACTGTTGTTTCTTTATGGGTCGGTGACGTGTTCCAATAAGTATGTTGAGCTATGCCTTAAGCACGTGCACCGTTCCACCTGCTATCTAGTGTTACTGTATAACTGTCTTTAGTGCTTTGACAGGTTAAATCAAAAGTGCTATGGATTAAGTCTAGTACCTTTTATCCAATTATCCTATCAATTAAGTTATGTAAAATTTAATACATGCGTGTTTGAGGATCGTGTGAGAGGTGGGGAAGAACATTCATCATTGCCTTGTTAGCTTGATTGTTCATAGCACCATTCACCTTAGAGGGATTTTTTTTTTTTTTTTTTAAAGCACCTTAGAGGGAATTTAAAATGGCATTTTGTATTTATTTTGAATTGGTCAATCAATTAAATTGTACATCAAGATCATAGTAAATTTACTTGGAAATAAGAGAAGATTGTGAAATGATAAGTTTTTCTCTATTTATAACATATATTCTTAATTGTTACATTGTTTGATCATAACTGCTAAAGGAGTTATTTTGTTGGAGCATGCCCTCTACTACCTAATTATCTCTATTATAATAGATTGTGCTAGTAAAACGGCCTTTGAAATTTTCATAATATTCTTGAAATTTAACGAGATGATTAGTCATTGTTTTTTATGGTAAAAATCTTAGATACACTAAATATATATATATATATATATATATATATATATATATATTCTTGAACAAATGCCCTATATAGCTTTCATGGGTCAAGTCCTCTAAGTTAGGTTGAGTCTAGTAGCCTGCCACTTTGCCTTTAATATGATATGGTTTAGCCATTTAGGTCATATCAGTTGTCGTTTATATAATTCCAAAATTTTAATAAGTCTATCGAAATTCATTTATTATTACCAATTTTATTAAATTAAAACTTTAGTCTAGATTGAGGGGCAGAGAATAGTTCGCAAAAAAAAAAAAAAAAAAAAAAAAAAAAGAAAGATTGAGGGGCAGAGAAAACACATTCAAAACGTACAGTTTCATATATATATATATATATATATATATATATATATATGAAAAGTCAATATCATAGAGTTATATTCTATGTTATTTATAAGACCTAAGTGCACGTAGTCAAATAACATAAAATTGGACGAAATCAGCATAGTGACCTTTCCACTTTAATAAAGTCAGTCCAAGTTCATTGAACTATGAAAAATGATCACATTATTCAAATCTTAAACAATAGAAAATTGTGATTTTTCATGTGTATCTTAACTACATTAAGATTTTTTTCAATTATGTCAGAATCTTAATATTCCTCAGCTCACTTAATCGTCATTTAAATATGAAATCAGAAGAGCAAATAATTGATGGTGAATGATTGATTGAACTAGCAGTAAATGCATGATTGCCACTTCACTAGAAGGTTGAAAATATAGTGAATTATATAATGAGAATTTAGAACCTTTAAATGATATATAATAGGCACTATTTTATATAATTAGGTGGGTCCCGGTGTAAATGACTACTCAGATCAATTGACACGTATCTTACTTCATTCATTGACAACAAGGGGCCAAGTACCTTGTGCTCAAATGACATATAGTGACATTTCTTATGTGGGAGGTTATGAGATTGAGACTCAGTGGAGGCGTTGTTGACTCTTTGTGTTTCATTATGTTGAGAAAGGCAATCAAATGTACCATTTAGACATATTAAATCAATAGCATTCAAAAAAAATATAACTAGTGATTCTTCCATGGTTATGCTGTGCAACCGTGTGCAAAATGCATGGTGCACATAGTTGCAAAAACGACGTCGTCTATTTAAAAAAAAAAAAACAGTTTCAATTTCCTTCAACAGCATTATGTTGTTTATTCATTCTGGATATTTAGACGAAAATCGAAACTGAATTTTTTTCCATTCATGTTGGATATTTAGTTTATTCATTCTGGATTTTTAGGTCATTCATTCTGGATTTGTATTTCATTCATTCTGAATATATAGTTTAAATTATGCACAACATAATGCTATTGCCGGAAATTGAAATTGTTTTTTTTTTTTTTAAGTGAGACGCGCTTTTTAGTCAACACGACGTCGTTTTTCCAACCGTGGTTCTTGATCAAGATCCTCATTAGACATAAAGTTGGGCCCCCTTTGTAGCATTGCTTTGGGCTTAGTCCCTGACCCAAAAGTTTAGAGAAGATGGGCGGAGGCCCAATATTGCTTCATAATAAAGGAGCTCAATCCTGAGGCCCATTATGTTTTAACGGGCTGGACAAAGCCCGACATTGAGCGCGTGAAACTCATAAACAACCTCGTAAGTCGTAAGAGCTCAAGAAAGAAAAGTGGCATCGCTCGGTAGGGTTGTCATAACTCATAAGCCTCTCCCCTGCTGCCTCCACCGCTAAACCTCTTTGCTCCGATCGACGTTCGCAGCTCCGGTAAGTTAATTTCAATTCAGTTTTGAGTTCAACTTTTCACATATGCATTGTTGCTTTGGCGAAATTCGTTTTTTTTTTTTTTTTTTTTTTTTTTTTTTTTTTTTGGTTCGGTTTGATTTCAACTGAAACCTCCATTTTTTGGGATAACGATGAAAACCTATTCGATAGTGTGCGTTGGATAAAACCGCTTTTTTACCTTAGCGGACAAAGGATCAGTTGTTAATAGTTGATCTTCTCAAAACCGGGAGTCGAACTTAATTTTGTGGTAATCTCCAATTTTTTGTGTGTAGCTCGAAGGAAGTTTTTGGGGGAAGAAATGGAGACAACGACGGAAGTACAGAAGGGCATAAAAAGGCGACACATTGGGAGCAAGAAGAGAAGCGGGAAAGCGAAGAAGAAGCAGAGGACGGCGCCGTTTAACGAGAAAAAGCCTAAAATAGATAAGAAAATGAGGAAGCTGTTTGAGAAGAGGGCAAGGGATTATAATTCAGATGAGGATGAAGAAGAAGATGATAAGGACAATGCGGTGGTGGGAGGAACGTCGGTACAGGATGAATTTGAAGAGGATTCTTTTAATGAGGAAGGAGATGGTGGAGAAGAGAATGAAGTGTCTGGAGATGAAGGCGGAGAAATTCAGCCCGGAATTACTAGGTTCACGGAGGGATGTAAGGCATTCAGAATTGCATTCAGGAAACTCCTTAAGGAAACTGATTCTGCTTCTGATGATGTGCTGGTTAGTAGCTCTCAATCAGTTGAACTTCATCATCTTCTTCATTTGTGTCCTATGAGACATAAGTATTATAATTTTCCTTGTACTAACTCTTTCAAACCCCTAATATTATTATATTTCACATTTTTCCTATAGGTAACAATCAATTAATTTTGTTATACTTTTTTCTCCTAAGTAGCTGTTCATCCCTTAAATATTATATTTTGATTTACAAGTATTATATTTTTCTCAAAAGTATTACATTTTCCTTTATAAGTAACCAACAATTTATTCTGATTAGTATTAAATTTTTTAACATAAGTATATTGATCCGACCTGTCTCACGGATCCATAAGACAACCTCATAGGAGACTCACCCTTTCTATAAACCTTGAAGTGATTTCTTGCATAGTTATTTATAGGTAGGATGAAAAGAGTAATCTTGTTGATGTGTGGATGTTATATAATTATCTATTGCCATAATCGTATATAGAGTAGCTAACCTCTATATTTTATATTGATATGGAATGGTTGCCCCGGGAATAAGTGATTACTGATAATAGTTTTTAAGTTGATTTTGAATTGCATTTATGCTTCAATCCGACTTGACATGGGTATAGTGCTTTTTAACAAATAGAAAGTCGAAACTTTAATTATGAGTGGATGCGGTTTTCAGGGTCCTGTGTTATCAGCCCAAAAGAAGCTTGTAGCAGAGAAACTTGCCGAAGAAGAAGCAGAACGGAAAGTGAAGGGTGAGGCAAAGAAGGAGAAACACTTGGTATGTATTTCTGAGTTCTTACATTATGTAATATTTAAATACTTCAATAACTCATTGATTTCTAAATATTTGAAGTTGCTTTTTATTCTCGTTCATGTACAAGATTGGAGAAAAGGGCCATGTGAAACCAGCTAATTATTTGGACTCTCATGAAAAGTTGCTAATAGGAATTGCTACAAAAGGAGGTACTGTATTAAGTTTTTTTTGTTCGAATTTAATGATAAACAACAATTGCTTCATTAAGCTTGCTATTAGGATGTGAAACTAACTTGCTTCTGTGTTGCCCATATGCATTGCTGGAATCTCAGTGGTCAAGTTGTTCAATGCTGTAAGTAGTGATGCAAAGTTCTACCTTTTCGGTGCCATTTTGTTATTATACATTTTCTGTTGGATGTTGCTTGTTGAATATGTTATACAAAGTTCAAGCTTTTTCTTTTTTTCTTCCCCTTAAAGGTTAACAAGGCGCAACAAGCTCAAAGAGGCTTAAATCCCTCAAGGGCAAAAGATGAAAAAAGTAAGTGAAAATAACTAAATATTTCCGCTTTCAAAGCTCTCTTTTCTTGGTTAGTTTGTTGAAAAGATAGCGATGATACTTGTAAGCTATATATTATGAGAGTTGCCGGGTTGTGGAGTTGCGGGGGAGGTTAATGAGGTGTTGATTTAGGAGCTCGTTAAAAAGAATGGTATCAGTGTGTTTTTCTTGTGATTCATATCTTAGACATCTCAAAGACCATTCAACTTTCAGACTACACATTATATAGTTAATGTAGCATATTAATAAACATCTTGCGGTGATTGAACTATAGAGTAGTATTTATTCCTTAGCTGCTATATTGCTTGGTAGTTGGATTACAATTTGGTACTAACTGCTACTCTTTTATGTTTGACCTATTAGCAATAAAGAAGCGAAAGAAAGAGGCTTTCTTCTCTGAGTTGGGCAAGACTTCATCCCAGTCAACTAGTATTGTTCAAAAGGTCACCCCACTTTCTTGATATATTCTCTCACATGTGCAAGTACAAGAAAGACCAGTTATTTTGAGAAATTTTCTGAACAAAGCATAATTTTCACTATGCTTAATCTATATATATACTAATTGCATGCAGGTTGGAACTTCTGGTGGGTCAAGAGATAAAGACGGCCCTGCGTGGGCTCCATTACGTGACAATTACATGTTAACCAATCCAAAGTTGAAAGACTGGGATAAAAAGCCGGTAAGAGCCTCTTGCTATTAACGAACATTAAATCAAGAGATAATGCAAAAATAGTTCCTTTTGTTCTTGGTGTTAGCTTCTTGTACGATGGATGATCTTTGACCTACTCTACTGCACATTCAGGATACGGCTATGGGAGACGAATCTGGGATGCCAGCAGATACAGATTCTTCATCGGATGACGATTAGATTTTTGCAATGTTAGATAGTTTTCAAGCTAATGACCACGTGATTGTCAAAGCGTATTCGTTGCAGTTAAAGAATCCAAGCTTCTTCTTGAAATTATGGTTATGGGATGGTGGCATGTTGTATCCAAGTTGAAGCAGCTCCAGAATGGGAGTGACAAAAGTTCTACCCTCTCCAGTTGTTCTCAGAGAAAATACTGCTCCTACCCTGTTGTATTAACCAGTATTAATCCACTCAGCTTTGGATGCTTACTATTCTATTTATTTATATAATCAAAATACAGGTTTTTCACAGCTGCCAAATAAGTGTAAAAAATGTTTTCACCATTGAATCCCAAACCCAAGGGTCCTTCACCCTGCTCGACAGAGCATTTGGGAGGATGTAGTAGACAGGGTTAAATGTTAGTACGCACAAGAGATTTGTTCATTGTGGTCATAATTTCGAAACTGTCGCTATTGAACCAGTGAACTAAGTCCGTGTGGGCTGTTTGGAGCTAAATTGCTCGCATAATGTCTCATTTTGCGACTACTAGTAAAGCAAAATTTTTATTTTGTTATTTATTTTATAGGCTTATGGTTTAACTGATTAACCGATTTAACAAAGATAATAGTTTTGCTTTTGGAATGAGAATGACAATAGAGAAAATAGAAGGAAATTGCAAATATGCAAGTGTTACTCGGATAAGATAGATTTAGTAAAAAGATAAAATTAACCAATCAATTAGCTAAATTCAGTTTCACTATATACCATGTCAAAAGATGAAAATACATCATGTCATATAGTGAACCAATAGAGTGATAGACTCTATTAACCCAATGAACCATTCCTGGAATCTGAAACAGAAAGAAAAATGCCAAAGCATTTGCCAGACAGAAACCTCAGATTATTACACACAGTTGTATTACAATCGTTTGGATGAAGAATATATGTATGTATATATATGTATATGTATATGAGGGGATTATTTCAAAGCTCAACCCCTCTTAAATGTGAATCAAAAGACTGGGAAAATATATACACCTCCATTAATTTCTTGAGAATCAATTGAAACACCTAACTCCTACTACATACTGCATAGAGGGGTAAAGGTATAGATCACAGGACAACATTCCAAGAGAGCTTCTTTTAATCCTTTGACCTGAAACCATTTCTGAATGTTTCAGGACATCTCATCGCGCGCAAACTCTTCTCCAGTTAGAGTTGAAGATGGGAGAGGCGGGATAGCCCTAAGCCTTGCATGAGAATCCTCAGTGCAAATGCAGTAGACTGTTGTTTTTTTTGGAGAAAGCCATTCTTCTTAAAGTAGGTAAATTTAATTGTTGAATGAAGTATACATCTATCCTTTTTTTTTTTTTGTTTTTTTTGTTTTTTTTGTTTTTTTGTTTTTTCTTCAATTATCGAATCTGATTCATTGATGTGGATGCTCTGTTCTGTTCAGTATATACTGCAGTCACCGTAAAATTTGTCATCATTTATCCGTTTGCAAGAAGCGCCAAAAACAAGTCTAAGAAATTTAAGGACTATTTCTTTCCCAGCGAGTATGCAAAGAAATATTTACTCAGTAGGTTCTGGTTTGGCCTTTTGGGTCGTAATCATAAGCATCCCCAGCTTTGACAAATCTTCCCTTCACACGCCTTCTAACATCAGCTCTTGCCTTACGCGAAGCATACCTCACTTGCTTTTCAAATCTGTCACAATTTTAAGAAATTTGCCAGAGTCAAATTAAGGGGGATTCTACAATCTCGGCAATAGCTTTTCAGATGGCATAAATACACTTTTTCTAAGGAAAAAAATTTGCTGTTCTTACTTGCGTGTCTTCTTCTTCTCTTTGTAGCGCAATATGGCGTTACTCCTACTACTTGAAGGCAATAAGTTTTCAGGACCTGAGGAACCCCATGGTGGCTCTCCCACGAGGAACATCGAGGAAAGTCCACAGTCCTGAAGTCCAGCGCTCTCTCCAGAGAGATTCGAGAATGAGAGGCTGTACTTATCTTGTCTTGCAAAACAGTTTATAGATTCGGTTTTGCTGGTTGTGGAATCTGCAAATGCAGCATTGCTGAGCTCTGGTTGTATTGTATTTATCCAATTGATTGATGACCCCTGGCACAAGTAATCAACGTCTTAAAATGCTCGCTAACTATTAAGACGGGAATCATAGACAATGGAAACAAATATCAATGTATTCTGATGACGCATGAAGGTGCAAAACAATAGCAAAAAAACAAGAAGAGATCATGCAAACATAAACTATCTGAACAGCGAAGCAAGGCTGTTAAAAGCTGAGTGCTTAATGTACCCTGAGTTAAGTAATACGTGTGTATACAAATACATACATAGAAGTTTTAAGTCATGCAAGCTCAAATATTGTGAGGAAGTGAATCTAAAGATGACTTGCACAATATACGACAGATTGTGAATATTGTTGATTGCATCATGAACAATAAATCTTGGCACGAAGGAGTTAACTTTTAATGATTATTTTAATTTGGAAGTGTTGAAGTGTATGAGCTTTATAAGAATTCTATCAACAAAGAAGTTTTTGCTTGTAGCAACAAGGGAGAGATAAGCAGTTAGATTTAAGAGTTCAGCATTAGACCAACCTCGACATCATTTGCATCCTGAGAATCATTATCAGCACCAGGCACATTGTTTGTTCCAAAAAAGCCATCAATACCTTCATCCTTAAAAAGCTCATTTGCATCATCATTAAGAGAAGCAGTAAATTGTTCATAATTCTCAAAACTTAGATCAAGCTCATCCATATTGATATCCCCATAGGTAGGTTCATCTTCATATAAAGTTTGGCCTTTGGTTCCAGAATAGCAAACCTGAATGATAGCAATATAAGAAGCCAAAGTTATTCTCAAGAAGTGAGTTAAAAGAAAAAAAGGAAGACAAGAAAGATGCATTTGAAGCAGAAATATGGTGCCACTTCAGTCGAAGATCAACCACTCCTCTCTCCTCTTTTCTGAAGAGAGGGGAAGAAGTAGATAATCCCAACATTCCCGAATCTAACAACATAATCTGTTTATGGCATAAGATATAACAGCATAAGGAGCCCTCTACCTTTAACTCCCTCATATTCATTCTCTTGCTATTAACATTCTATGTGTTCCCTGAAATAGTCCCCTTCAATCTGCACTTCACTCAGCAAGCGCCTAGCATTCAGTCAGTCTTAAAGCTATGTAAATTTTTGTTTGAAGAGTGATAAACTAAATGGCTACCAGAGATGACAAAAGAATTATGCATTTAAATCACCGCTGCATTGAGCAAAAACACTAAAGTGAAATGGAAGACAATCTATAGGCTCTAACACATGTAAGACCAACATCAGTTCAGACTGGTCAGCATGATCAGACCATCAATTTCTGAGATATCATTGTTAAGATCAAGGGTTTGAAGGTTTGGTGGTGGTAGCCACCACTTGCAAGTAATACATAGAAACTAAAGAAAGCAAGAACATATCGATTATATGGGTGGGTATATCATGTGTCGTGTAATGGGCTAAGCCTAAGGCTACAATAGGTTTATGCTTGGGTTTTCCTATACTTCAACTTTCCACTCTTTTGAAACTCAATGGCTCTAGGTTCTAAACATGGTAGTGTCAGAACTGAACATGTTGAAGAAATAACCATGGCATATTGATATTGAAAGAAGGCAGGCAAAGTCACCAGAACGGTAACTCTGCTAAACAGAATAGTGATTCTGGCAATGGTAACGGCAAAAGAAATTTGAAGTTTTCTAGGGTTATAAGGCTCTAATACCACGTTAAAACTGATGGGTTGAAAGTTTGGCAGGTGATGACTAAATACCACCCAACAATGAGGGGGAAACCAAAGAAAGCAAGATTATATTTATTATACTAATAGCAATGGAATAGTACACATTTTGACACTAATGCACATGATTATATAGGCACATCATGTGCTATATAATGGACTAAACCTAAGTTTATGATAAGGTTAGGTAAGGGTTTTCCATTATTTCCACAATCATGTTACAACCATTTCCTTCTAACCTCAAGTATTATTAAAAAATAAAATAAAATAAAATTACCTTTGAAGTAGAATTGGTGGATTCAGTCAACAGTTCGACATTCTCCAGTTTGTTAAGTGGAGTTTCCTTAGAAGACTCCGTGCAAATGGTAGATTTATCCACACTCCGCGACTCATTTCCTTCGACCACAGTGGACACATCTTGAGCGCTCTTTCCTTCAGACCCTTGGATATCCCTAGGATCATTATTTGTTAAGCTCATCAAACTCATGCCACTCTCACAAGTGGAATCACCGATCAAAGGGATACCTAAGAGAAAAGACCAGAGTGAAGGCAGTTCTGCAGCTGAAGGACAGCCCAAATAATGACTAACCGGTTGCCTAGTATGGGTGGAACTTGTACTAGAACTAGCATGTGCTTCCCAATCACAATTCTGACAAAGAGATAAACTTTCCTCAATACATCTAGCAAAAGCCGGTTGTGAATTGCAGCTTTCACATACAAGTGTCCTGGAATGGCGCTGTGAAAGGGCATTTGCAGAATGGACACGGCAGTCACAGGAAAAACATAAGCAAGCTGCATCAGATCGACAATATACCATCGATTGCTGCTCCCCGCAGAAGTCGCATAAATAACCCATTACTCTGCACCAATTCCCCAAGATCAAAACCAAGCTCGAATTCTACTCTTTTTAGACCTTCAGATGACACTGACTTTTAACCAATTAAAGTCACTTCTCAATCAAACACAAATAACAGTTCAGATGATTCTACACTTCCTCCTTCAAGACAATAACTGCATTGCCAAAAACCAATACAAATGAGAAATAACTCAGAGTTCTACAATTTTACACTATATTTTGAAGATATAATAGAATGGTAGAAGTAGAAAGAATATGAGACGCCTAACATCTAAGGAATAACAAGAAACCATTTCACTCAGAAAACAAAGAGCACTTGATTCTCAGAGAATCAGAGAACCAAAAGGTTAAATATGTTATTACCACAACCAGTTTGTTCCTGCCCATCCTAATCTACAACAGGGAATAACATATCTTCTTCTTCTGACCATCAAAAATTCTAAATTCATATTGAAAAGTCTAATCTTTGGAAATTTGGGCAATTTCAAGTTAATCAAATCAATCATTTCAAGCATAGTAAAATAATACTAAAAGTGCCTCCAGTAAAACACATTAAAGTGCAAACAAGAGAGAGAAAGAAAGGTGCAGGACATGAAAAGCAGTCACCTAGTGAGAACATAATAATAAAAAATATATCCAATCAAAGTTGAGAAGTCTCTGATAAAACAAGATTCAAAGACGTCCAAAGATTAGCCACTAATAATCTGAAGAACACTGTGCTCTGGAATTCTTCAAGAAATGTAAATTTTCAACAAACTCATACAAATCATAAGTGAAAAATGAAACCAACCCAGAACAGAAGAAGAAATATATAGTTTTTAAAACCCCCCCCACCCCTCCACCCAAAAAAAAAAAAAAAACTCCCCTCACCTAATTTAACAGTGAAGATTACATACCCATATCTCTTAGCAGCTTTCACCTTCACAATGAAACCCTAAACAGAAAGATCAGACCTCTCTCCCCCACTCTTTCATACACACTTCTTATGTGTGAAATTGAAGTGTAGAATTGAGATAATAATTAATCCTATATCTTTCTATATCTATCCATATATTCTCCTAATAACACCAATAATAATGCTCTGTAATAATAAGGCGATAATAAAGATCTCAGGAGAGGGAACACCATAAAAGGAAGGGATGAGCTGGGAGTGACACTGTCCTTTGCATGAAAAGTAAAAGTTGAGCTTTTCCCTATTTGGAGTCCCTTCATCACACCCACCCCCTCCCCCACCCAAAGATAAAAAGACAAATCCCTATTTAAAAATAAATAAAAATAAAAATAAATTGATTACCCCCTTCACACTTCGTTTTTCAAATTACAGAAAAACAAATACATATACCTCACGACACTATATTGTTTATCGTTCAAAATTATACATTTCACGCCCGATTGAAACCGTAAATCTTCCATTTGAAAACATAAACAACGAAAACGTACAGATATAACATTTGAGAAATACACTACATGATTCATATGAATACGTGATATCATATGATCACAAAACATATATCGTAAAATTCCTTTAATTTTGGGTGTAATTATACGGAATTGAAGCGAACGTTTCAGAAAACGGCGATTTGAGATATGAATACCTTGATTGAAAATGTGATGAAGAAATCGGGGGAGAAATTGAGACTTTAGCAGCTTCCAGTGTCAGACTGGCAGTCGATCTCTACACGCTGACTGGAAAATGATGAGACCTTCCTGCATGAAGTGATTTATAAAAAATGATAAAGGTTGTGTTGTGCGTTTACGATTTTACCCCTCCCAAAATGCCCACGTGCTCCAATGACGTAATCCTGCACGTTTTTCACCTTTACGAATTTTACTAGCAGCCAAAATCGCCGGGAACCGTTATCGGCCAAACGGCCGACGACTCGACGAGGCTAAGAACGGGAAGAAAAATGACTTTTCTGAATATATATATTTTGTCTTTCAATTTTTATTAAAAGTTTGTTATTTTTTTTTTTGTTAAATGATTTCTTTTTATAATATCACATCCAATTTTATTTTTTAAAACAATTTTATAATAAAAAATGACCATACATTATATCTTTTCTATGACTCCACATTTTCAAAACAAAATATTCCTTTTATTCTAAAATAATTTGATTAGTGTAAAAAAAAATTATTTATGATATTTATTTTAAAAATGTGAATACCACTTTGCTTTCTACTAAAAAAATATGGAAAAAGTTTGATTACATTTTTTATATTGGATAAGTTCAATTAAATTAGTTAAAATTTATGATTATAAGATATTAAAAATGTAATTATCCTTTCAAAAAAATGTAATTATCATATATAGAAGAGTCATAATAGTCTAGGACTGTCTAATAAATCGAAATAATTTTAGCTAACTGTTAACTAAATTAATTTGATCTAATTTCATTGGTAATCAAATAATCGAATTATGTCGATTAATGATTTAAAAAAAAAATCAGTTATTAGTTAATTTGGTTAAAATGTTTAAAATTCACTGAATTTTTAATAGAAATATAATATAATTTAATTAATTGATAAATATTAGGTCAAATCATTGTGATAAAGTTTTACATGCAAATTATTGTGTGTATCATGGTCCAAAACGACGTCGTTGAATATTATGAGTAAAAATACTGTACATTATGTGTTAGAACAATGTATATTATGTGTTAGAATAATGTACATTACATTTTAAAATAATGTACATTACGTGTTAGAATAATGAAACTTTTGGAGTAATATAATGTACATTATGATTTAGAGTAATGTACATTATAAATTATAAGACAAGATATGTTCATTATAGAGTATAAATAGATCACAAAAAAGTTGTGGAAGCGACATGACATTGAATAGTCCAACTGACTCTCCCATAGTATTCAGACTTGTTTTCTCAACTAGTGTTTTATATGCGGGATGCTCACAAATATATGCTCAATATTAATACTCAATGTTAATTTCTTTTAAGGAAAAATACTCCGTAATTTTGTGTGTGTAGTGTCTATTAAATTTATAGTTATAGAATTCATATTATTATATTAAAAGTATAGTACAGTTGATTATTTGAATAATAATTATGATATGATTAATATTATTAAAGTAAGAATTTTATATATGATAAATTACTAAATATAATTATGTAATATTTAATTAAAATCTAATGAACCAAACTTATTTTTTATAATAGTATGTCTACACACATTATTAACATTGAAGAATATAAAAAATATATATTGAGTATGTATGTATATGGTAATAATAATGGAAAAAGATAACATAAGTTATAATGGTAGGGATATTTTTATAAAAAAAAAAAAAAATGAACATAAATCATGAGTATAACATGGATTGAGCTTATTATATTTGTAGATTTAGAATATAAGGCAATTCCCCTATCCCTTCTAATTCATTTCGAAATTAACGGAGCCAAAAATTATGAATTTTCTACAACAAACTTCCCATTCTGTTATGGTAGAAAACAGCATGAAGCAATCACTACCCACCGCTGCATATTTGTTATTTCCAGTACTTCAATTACAATGTTAAATTCTTTGAATCTAATAGAATCCTGTTATAGAATATATTGTTGTGCAACAGAATATTCCAACTTTACATCAACTATTCTTCAAAGTTCAAACTATTAACTATATGCATGTGAAGTGTGAAGCAAGTGGTCCCTAAAAAGTGCCAATTAATGTCACACTCGTCTCCCATAATACCTATGTATCTCAAGACTTTGACTTGTGGATTATTTATTTTTTTATTTTTTATAACTCCGATTTTTTAGATTATATTTTGAACCTCATCAACCTCCTACATGTTCATGAGAAGAAGATAAATTGTGCCAATATAATTTCAATAATCGACATCAAACTATATATTTTGAGTACAAAAAAGCTCAACCCAAGCCCAAACACAAATTGTCAATGTTCGTGAAAGAAATTGAACCCTAAAAAGCAAGTCTTAAGTGATTAGATCTTGCTTCTCCGAGGAATTACAAATTCAATCTCCGACCTTATATAATGTCGACGACATTTCTAAATAATAATAAAAAATCATTATAAATTTGATCTACAGTTAAAACTTTTCATTAGGAATTAAACCATGAAAATATGAATGAGTTGAAGAATGAAAGCTGTTTAAAATTCTTGTTCAAATAAATAACATGAAACAGATGTGGGCATGTATTGATGACCAGAGCAAAACATGGCCAAAAAGCATCCAATTGTGGAAATGTCAAAAGTGTACATCTGTCACCTTCCAAAACATCTGAGAATTGAGGACATAAGGGTGGAAGAAAGGAATTTCACCCCGGATGACCCTCCAGGGAAGTAGGAGATGGCATAATATGACAGTGAGAGTACCTGGCAAGTATTGAACAGAACATATTAGAGTATTGGACCAACAAAATGCTTTCTGCTACTTGCTATGATTACTAACTAACATCAGAGAAGCAAATTTCACAGAGATTTTTTACTAAAAATCTTGTAAACAAAATTCTTGAATTCCAGAATGCCCATAAAATGTTGTATCTTCATGAATAGTAAACAGAGTGATGTGACTGCATGAGAGAAAAACTATCCAAACAGCAATGCCAAACTAAAGTATGCTTCACTTTGTGCTAAACAAGATTGCATAGTATTAAAAATAATGTCAAAGATGATCCAAAAAAATAATCTTAAAGCATCCCAACAAGGCAACAATAACACAAATGAGATTTTTTTTTTCTTTCTTATTTTTAACTGATGTGGATAAAAGAGAGAGGGGATGTTCCAGAAAGAGGGTTTTTTTGTGGGCCCATCATGAAACATTTTCTCTTTCTTCATTGGAATCAGAAAAAAAAAAAATCAAATTAATAACTTTTGTGGATGCTCTATAGTTTAGTGGCATGTGTGTGTGCAAACTTTTAGTTTTTTTTTTTTTTTTTTTTTTTTTTTTGAAAACAAACAAAGGATAGAGGGAGGGTTCGAGAACCACTCCAAGTAACCAGACAAAGAAACGGACTGCCTAGCTAACAGATGGGCCGCCAACAAACTTTTAGTTAAACACTGAATTGAACAAAAAATTCAATTTTCGATCGTTCTCAGTTATTAGTTCTTAAAAATTATCAGTTTTTCAGTATTTTGATTATCACTCGGTCTTATACTCGCAGTGCCAGTCAGTAACCATTAACCAATATAACCGTTATACTGAAACCAACATTTGGTTATGTTTACTTTGGTTGGTTTCGGACTTTCGGTCGTTATAAAGGTAAAAGATATGTGACCAGTTTTTTTTTTGATTGGTTATATAACTGATCGAGTTCTTGCTCACTATTGACTAAATTAGAGTCACAAGTTAAATCTCCAAACCCCTCAAATGCACCCCAAAAAAATTGTATCCACGAATGACAAGAAAATAAGAATAAAAGATGGCATTACTAAATCATGAAGCACAGTGAAAATCAATACCTGCAACACTGAGAAGAGCACACAAAGGATATAGCTGTGCATCACCATGGAAACATAAATTGTCCCTCCCATGCTGCCAATAAAACAAGCTGTGAAAGGAAGCCTCTGAAAAGGAAAGGGAGAAAAGGGTTGTGGGCATTAAAAGTGTATAAGATGGAAAAGGTAAATGACACTTTCATAAGGATAAAAGCAAGCTACACATAAGTGATTGGGAAAAAGCATCTAAAAGGGTAATAGCTTGCTTACCTCCTTAGATAACATGTGCGAAAGCTGATTTTTTGGACCTTTTAGAGCAAAGAATGAGCTGATAATCAATGTACAACCAATTGTGAAGCATATAGCAAACTTCTGTGGCATTAGAACCATAACAGGAAGGAACATGCTGATTGCTATGAAGATAAAAAACACACCAACAGCAAGAAGTAGACCAAAGTACACCAGAGCCTTTCCGGTAGGGACGCTCGTCGCAGTTTGGAGGTTCCCAGGCAAATCTCTTACTCTTTTTGATACTCTATACTCAGAAAGGAAAAATAAACAAATAAATGAGAAACTGATGATTTCAAGTAAATAATTCAGAGCAGCAATCAACAGAATCTGATTTCAATTGTGAAAGTAGAAAAAGGATTATGCAACTCCTGATAAATCCTGTCTTCATATTTTAAAATGTTCAGCTTCTAAACCCATTGATTCCATGGAATTTACAAAAAGGAGATTGCCTTTTCACCATTGCCCTATCCTATTCCAGTTTCCATCAAACAGTAATCAACAATTGCAATGAACATTATCAGATCATAAACATTCCTCTTAATGTGAATCATGAGAGCTAGGGTATTAGTTTCAAAATTTCAATGTTCAAACGGAAAAGATTAACTTCACACTGTTATCATACATTATCATCACTTGTAAACACTTCAAATTATACGCGATAATGACACGTTCAGGTACACATGCATTAACATCGATTTCAACAAAATAACCTAATAAGCCTCAAATAAACAAACAAGTGTATTGCGATTCACGGATTCAGGAATGGAACTTTTTGTGTTTTTATTTTTATTTTTGGAGAATAATTACTAGTGCGGATGCTTACACGCCAAAAGTCCCGGAGACTTTGTCGTTGGCGGTCTGAACGGCAGCTTCGAGATCGAAGGATTCGAAGCCGAGACCCGTCGGCGATCCATTGTCCTGTGAGGAGGCGTAAGCGTTCCAGTCGGCTAGTAGGGACGGCGGCGTTTCCTGGTGATTATCGCTGGGGCCACCAGTAAACCACGTTTGTGCTATCTTACGCATTTCTTCTTCTTCTTCTTCTTCTCTGTATCACTAATTCCAATTTCGTTTTCTGGGAATTTTTCTATCGTAGTAGGCGCTCCTCAGTGTCATAGGTACGGTCGGAGATATGGGATCTGAGTCTACCATTGTAGGATGGACGTTTGTGTTACTGCCAAAAGAATGAAGGTTATCCTTGTAATTTAATATGGAATATTGTTTGATTTTTTATTTTGTTTGAGACGTGGAAACTCACGGGTATGTGTTAGTAAATTCGGCTCATGTGTAATAACCTTTATGTTTTAACTGATTCATTAGGCCGGTTAAAGAATAAGGATAGAGAACACCATTTGAATTATTTACAAAATAATAATTATGTTATCAAATTATAAGAACTTATCATAGATGTCTAAACTCATAAAAATAATATAATTAAGTAATATTTACTCGATTTTATTGAAAAGAATTATTAATAATTTGAATTAAGAGTGTTTATCCATTCCGTTTAATCAAATTTTTTTCAAAATTGAGAAAATAGCATTATAATTATGAGTTATGACAACCATTTTAACTTTAAAATTTTGACCATCACGTTAGTGGCATTTGTCTTCCCCCATTTAATCAAATTTTCTTCAAGATTGAGAAAAAGACATTATTATTAAGAGTTAGACAATCACGTTTTGGCGCAAAAACAGGAGGTCCTACCGGGAGTCGAACCCAGGTCGCTGGATTCAAAGTCCAGAGTGCTAACCACTACACCATAGAACCACTTTGTCTATTGTCTTGTTATTAAATAATAAATTATAATCTCTAAACGTTATCTTTTTTCAAAACGCATTCACCATGTGTATTGCGAGGTTGACATAAATCAAACTAAGAGGTCCTACCGGGAGTCGAACCCAGGTCGCTGGATTCAAAGTCCAGAGTGCTAACCACTACACCATAGAACCGCTTGTCTTTTGTCTTGTTATTAACTAATAAATTTATTATTATGAGCCCTCTGTACAAATGTGGGCTTAGCATTAAAGCAAGTGGGATAATGGCGATGCGTAATACCCCTGTTGAAGGAAAGGGCACACTTTCTACATTATTGCGTGTCACCAATTACCATGTGTTTGTATTGCGAGGTTGACATAAACCCAAACAAGATGCATTCCCCATAATTACTCTATTTCTTTTTCTATATATTTTTTTAATGCTACTAGCTCTATTACAATGTAGTATTTGTTCATATACTTTCTCAACCTACTGAAACACAAAGAGCCAATAACGCCTCCACTGAGGCTCGAAATCACAACCTTCCACTTGGAATTATTAAGACTTTAAACAATTTTTTTTGAAAGGAGATTTAAACATTTGATATACTTCAAAATAAATTTAATATATTTTAATTCTTTATAGGAATAAGGGTCAAATAGGCCACTCAACTGCACACCAAAGTGCAATTAGGCCATTGAACTCAAAAAGAATGCAATTAAGCCATTGAACAACACAAAAACATGCAATTTAGCCCAAAATGACTTGTTTACCTAGAGTAGCAATTTACCAATTTCAAAATTAATTTTTTTAAATATGCAATAGCCATGGAGACGAAGGTCTTTGTCTCCATGGCTGGAGATGGAGGTTCGTCTCCGGCCACGGAGACGTAGCCGGCCGGAGACGATTCGTCTCCGGCCGGAAGTTTCTGTTTTTTTTTTTTTTTTTTTTTTTTAAATAATAATTTAATTATTTATTTATTAAAAGTTATTTTAAAAAATTAATTTTGAAATTGGTAACTTACTACTCTAGGTAAACAAGTCATTTTGGGCTAAATTGCATATTTTTGTGTTGTTCAATGGCTTAATTGCATTCTTTTTGAGTTTAATGGCCTAATTGCACTTTGGTGTGCAGTTGAATGGCCTATTTGACCCTTATTCCTTCTTTATATGATTAACATGTGTTTAATATTTAATATCCAATGATTAAAAGAAATCTAAACATTTATATCTTATTAAAAAAACACTGATTTACAAGTTTCAAGAATATAGCCAAAAACGTAATCAAATGTTATACATTAGCTTCTTTCAGATTGTCAAAAAAGAGACGAGTTTTACAACAAAAGACTATTGCTAACATGCCTCAGCACTCAGAACATAATGTTCTTCGTGTTCCCATGCTTCAACTATCATAGGAGGTTACATGATGAAGTATAATACTTAGAATTTTTCTATGACACTTGAAAGTCTAAAATTAGAAAGTTTTTTAGTCGCTGCAATACCTAGCTAAAGACTCGGAGAGCGTAGTTTATGCATTTAAGCGGAGTCGCTTTTGGACCCAACTTTGAACTTAGCAATGAAAAACCCTATTGTATCAAGGGGAGATGATGGGTCAAATCTCTGAACAAAGTCTTCCTCTCCAGGCTTCAACCATTCCCTGGAATAGTTTAAACATAAATGTGACATTTATCATTCATGTTATTATCAAATAAACCTGGAAAAGATACAAATTATATCTCGTGCTAACGTGAACAAGATGCCAATTTTGCATTTAGTATCCAAATGTCTCAAATTTACCATATTGATACAGCATGACATGCCAAGGACAAAAATGCTTACTCAGTATATCCATCGGGAAATTGGCAGCAACCAGTAAGACCAGGTCCTCCAACTCTCGGATGCTGAGAGAAAGAAACTTGATTAGAAAAAGCAAATATAATCCAATTAAGACTAGATTCTCCAAATCTTCAATGTTGAAAAATTGTTCAGACAGCACAAAATTCATAAAAAGGTAAAAACTACATTGACTAAAGTTTCGGTAGAGAATGAAATCTTTAACAAAAATCATTATTTCATGTTGCGTGATACAAAAGATGGCTTGGGCAGTTTACTTGGGTACAATAGCATGACACCAGCAGTGATTATTGACAATGACTAATGACGGTGCTTGTGATGATTGAAGAGTGACTAAGAAAGTACAATAGTGTGATTCACATCAATAGCAATTGGTTCCACAACATCATTAAGGGTGTGTTTGGAAACCCGGAAAATGACTTCTGGAAGTCATTTTCCGGGGTTTTGGTGTTTGGTTACATTGGAAAATGACTGGTCAAAGGAAAATGGGGTGGAAGTCAATGGAAAAGGAAGACAATTTTATGGAAAATGACTTCCCCTTTTTTTTGGGGGAAGTCATTTTCCAACTTTTACACCAACATCATCAACACCATACCACCACCACCACCACTACCAACATACCACCGTCGCCGCCATCTCCACCATACCACCGCCACCACCACCACCATACCACCGTTGTCACACCACCACCATCACACCACCGCCGCCGCCACCACTACCACCATACCACCGCAACCACCGTCGCCACCACTACCGTCGCCGCCACTACCACCATACCACCGCAACCACCGTCGCCACCACTACCGTCGCCGCCACTACCACCATACCACCGCAACCACCGTCGCCGCCATCACCACCATACCACCGCCCCCACCACCACCATACCATCGCACCCGCCGCCGCCACCACCACCATACCACCGCAACCACCGTCGCCGCCACCACTACCGTCATACCACCGCCGCCGCCACCACCACCATACCACCGCCGCCACCACCACACCACCGCCACCGCCACCACCACTACCATACCACCGCAACCACCGCCGCCGCCACCACCACCATACCACCGCAACCACCGTCGCCGCCACCACTACCGTCATACCACCGCCGCCGCCACCACCACCACCGCCGCCACCGCCGCCACCACCACCATACCACCGCCACCACCACCACACCACCGCCGCCACCGCCACCACCACCACCACACCACCGCAACCACCACCACCACCACCATACCACCGTCGCCGCCACCACTACCACCATACCACCGCCGCCGCCGCCACCACCATACCACCGTCGCCGCCACCACCACCACCACCACACCATCGTCATACTACCACCACCATCACACCACCACCAATTATTATTATTATTATTATTATTATTATTATTATTATTATATAACGAATAACACCACTACCACTACACCACCACCACCACCACCACCATAATATTTTTGATATATTATTAGTTTTTTTTTTTTTTTGTTGAAAAACTTAGCTATTTTTTATTATATTTAAAATTAATATTATATTATTATATATTATTATACATGTTGTAATATTCTAAATAAAATAATTAAAATGTTTAATTATACAATTCTACTCATTTTCCAGAAAATGAACCAAACACACAAAAACAGTTTTCCAGAATGCAACCAAACACCGGAAAGGAAAATGTTTTCCGGAAAATGACTCATTTTCCAGAAAACATTTTTCAGAAGTCATTTTCCTGGTTTCCAAACGGACCCTAAGTTAATTTCTAAAAGCTAGAAGAATAATATCCTCTCAGTTCATTTACATGGAAAGACAAGAAAGTGTTGTCATGCTTACCTGCTCTGCTAGTGAGAGAAACTTGTATGTATCCAATGCATATCTAACCAATGCTTCATTCTCACCAGGGTTTATGGTGCATCTGATGTTTGGGGGAAAAATGAGTTAATTGACGGTTGGTCTACCCCATATAAAAATATAAAATAAGCAGACTTTTGATTCAACAATTTGGTAAATCAAGTCTGAATATTACATAATATATTGAATTACAAATAACACTTTAATGCATAATAATAAATCAGGAAATACATCTATATATAGTTCTATACTTACGTGGAATACACAAGAACTCCACCAGGGCGAACAAGCTGAACTGCCTGATCAAACATTCGCCTCTGGTACTTGGCATGATTCCTCAATGATTCAACAGTGTCCTGCATATGACAGCAGCTAGTTTGGAACCTTTGAAGTAGATGATGGTAAATAGAAAAGACTATTTTACCAGTAAGAAAACAAAACAAGAACGCAGGATTATACAAAGCACTGGACAGCCAGCATAAAAACCAAATATAAAATGTTATCATATTGTACCATTAATTCTAGTATAGCCCGGAGTTCCCTTGTGTGACAATCAATTATCCGTACTAAATCCTACAGAACCTATACTTAGTTCAAAACTGGTGTGGCATCATCTTAATTGCCATTTTAAAAAAATAATAATAATAAATTAAATTATTAAAAAACAAAACAAAACAAAGCAAAAAACAAACAAACACCCTACAAATAGGACAGGGGAAAATTTACTCGTCATGAATTACAATAAACCTTGGGGATGGAGGTAAAACAGTAATCATTACATGAGAATTGTTCTCAGGTTATCTTCATGCCCTTGGAAGTGTGCCCTTTTCAATTGAGAGGATTGGATATGTTATGTTAAAGCTAGAGGCAACAATAAATTATTTTGAAGTGAATGGTACTGCAAGTTTTCTTGTCTAGATATGTTTCTACCAACAATCCCACCCACCCAAAACACTGAAACAGGTTGATAATTGTGCCACTTGTCTGATGGGCAGGATTGCATTTGTAACAAGAAAGATTAAAAAAGTAGCTAACCTCCCCAGCAAACAGTCGGGGTCTCAAACCTAGAGCAGAACAAGGAGCATCAAGGAGAACACGATCAAAGCTATTTGGAGCAAATCCATTAGACTTTTCAACCCTACCACCAGAGCAGTGATTCCTTCCAGGCCCATTTTTCATTCTCCTAATACTCTTCCGTAACTCAGCTTTGCTGGTGTAACCACCGCTTCTTGTTTGCACATTTTCAGCTGAAATAGTCAGGTAATGAGACATGGCCGAATGTATGATTTCTGCTAATACCACGAGTCCATGAACAAAAAAAATGTTTGCCCAAATATGGGTACACACTGAGAGAGTATGAGACACATGATGTGTGTGTGTGTGTGTGTGTGTGTGTGTGTGTGTGTGTGTGTGTGTGAGAGAGAGAGAGAGAGAGAGAGAGAGAGAGATCTGATGCATCCAAAAAGATTTGAGACCAAAACATGCAGCTTAGAATCAAATTGCTGATTTGCATTTGCAAGTATAGATGATCCACTAATGTAAAAAGTGAACACTAACTAATCTTCATAACATGAGTGGAGTTACTCACTTTTTGTCTGTGAAATTAACTCGGCATCCAAACCATTTGTACTAGTGGATTGCGTTTTGTCCATTCCCGACCCTAGTGGATCTGATGGAGTACTCTGAACCTCATCACTGACATGCAGAATAGGCAAATCACTATCTTCACATGTTCGCCGACAAGCTTTCAGTGCATCAAGTCTATATGTGGTTATACAATTCAAACCCATCTCAGCAGCCAATTTCTTGATATCAAGCACCTGAAATTTTATTCAGAGTCAAAGAAGAAGAAGAATTGATGATATATATTTCTCTAGTAACATGATTGCATAAAACTGTGTGCGTACTACAAAAAAGACACATTTATATAGTTAAAATTTTACAATGAACAAGGAACTCAAACATTGAAACACCTGAAGCCTCAAAGAGGTTTTTAGATCAATGGTTTTGGTGTGTTGTGTGCATCTGAAAGAAGGATAATCTCCATTCTTGCAAAATTTTGCAATTTGATACAATCTCATATCAAGATAGCACTACTTCAAGTGAGTGTTGACTCTGGGAATAAAAAAATGGGAGGGGAGATTCAAGAAAGAAGAGAGGAAGAAGACAGATTAAGGAGATAGGGAGAGAGTAGGGAGACAGAATAGAAAGATTAAGGAGAGAGAGAGAGAGAGAGAGAGAGAGAGAATATTGAAGGGAAGAATAATTCCATTATAGTCTCATTATCTTATCAATACGTAAGGACTAATATATAACATCTAAAAGACCTACCAATTATAGAACTCCCTAATTCTCCTACTAATTAACAATAAATTATACACTAATAACTCACCCTAATTGATTATTTCATATAAGGCTTTCCACTAATTAAGCCACCAGTTATTTCTTTCCTTTTATGCCTATCACAATCCCAACCCACCCCATAGCAAACCAAAATAGTACAAGAAATTTTCTTTTTCTACATCACATTGTGTCTGAAACAGTCATAAGCTTCTCACAACTCAGCAACATTAACAGTGTTCATTTGTGAACTTCAATAACCATAAGAAACTAATGGTGCCAAAGACAGGTATAGTGTTGAGCATCATCTACTGAATGTACCACTAGTCCGAGACATGCTTCACACTGGTCTATAATTAACTTACAAAGTGTACACTTTGTGAAAAGAACAATTTCACTTCCTTCTCTTGATCTTGTTTCTAAACAATATATGATACTACTAATGCCTATCAATCTATTTCATATCTCTATTTTATATATGCTTAGTTGTTCCTATCAAAGAGTTTTGTGCATAAGCTCAATCTTGCTTGAATTATACAAACCATAATAAAGAGCTCTTGTTGTGCATCATTTTCATAAATCTAAGGCCAACTATCCAGCCACAAGGAACTTAAGAAAGCATTTAATATAATAATAGTACAGATAATTACAATCACCTGCCAAGTTCAGAAGGTGCACCTTATTGTGAGATCTATCAGCAGCAACTATCTCCCCTTTGTCCTTCATAAGAATTGCAACTGCAGTTGTTTTACCTCCAGGAGCAGCACACATGTCAAGTATCCTCTCTCCTGGTTGAGGATCTACGGAAACAGGGTTGCAGAAAAGGAACATATAGTAAGTAGGACAGAGATCACTGTTGTGGAGAACAATAAAATGGCAGGATTGATGCCATACATTAGAAATTAACAGAAACAAACTCGCTTGGAGGAAAAATCTGGCTAGTTCTATTTTAACAGGTATAGAGGAATAATTTTCCAGCATTTCATGTACAACTTGGTGTTTGATCAAGATTTTTAGTTGCTTTTTCTTTTTCCTTGCAGAGTAATGTGTTAAAGTAACAACATAATGCAATAAAGCATACCCAAGGCATGTGCAGCTATAATGCTTGGCAAATTTTGAAGAAAGATTTCTCCCTCGAGCAACTCTGGATGACAAACATTTAAAATTGCCAATTAATTTGTGATATATGTAAAAGGAAAGTTGTAGTCCGCATCATAAAACCATAACAAGGAGGGGAGGGGGGAGGGGGGAGGGGGGTGGGGGGGGGGGGAGTTAAAAGAGGGGAAAATAATAACTAGGGATATTTGAAGAACAGGAAACAATCATTTTTCCTTAAGAACAGGGCATCATTTAAGAGAGGACAGAGTATTACTAACTGCAGCTACTTATTTGTTTTGAATAAAAACAATTACTATCAACTATAGTGTTGGCTATGTAGTTTTTGGCATTTTCGCAAAACAATTTTATGTTTTTCATTCACCAAATACCATCATAAACCACAACCCCCCCTCCCCCCCCCCCCACCACCACCACCACCCCCACACACACACATCACCCAGAAAAAAAAAAAACAAAAACAAAAAAACAAAAAAAAAAAAAAAACAAAAACAAAAACAACAACAACTGAAAACGGTTCTTTTTCTCCATGATAAATTGATAACTTCAAGGAAAAAAGAAATCTATAAAGCCATCATCAGAGAATTCAAGCAATAATTGTACATAAGAAAAGAAGCAAAAGAAATGGCAGTACTTCTAAAGACACTATCATAATATCTACAGGCAAAGAACTATACCATTGAAGGAGGGCAGTTCAAACACTCTATTATGCATATCAACAGCAACTCCTTGTGGTACACGAAAGATCCCAGCTCGTGACAACATTGTGGTCCCTTGACCAATATAGAGACCATTCCTTTCAAAATAAAGAGGATCTGAAACCACACAACATTTGGTTACCAGAAAATGCAGAGTGATTCTAAATATTTAGAGGAAAAAAAAAATAAAAATCCTGCAGCAATTAACAGAAGGGACAAACAAACATTTCTTAAAGAGAGTAAGAAGTTTTAAAGCATTGAAAGAGGACTAGCTATCTAAAGATATGAATGAGGGGAACAAGTGCCCATATAGCTTAACTTGCATCAGGCCTGCATAGATCCTGTATTGCAACCGTTATTGTAAAATGAGGCACTGCAAGAGAATCATGTTTTTCTTACCTGTGGGTGATCCTTGTAGGACAGTCCCACGTGTCATACCAATACCCCATCCGCCTTCAGGACAAGGCTGTTCCACAGCAACTGAAACTGCAACCACATCCCCTTTCTCAACATGAGCACTGCAGGCCAAAACACCAGGCACATATACCTGTGAACAGATCATAAAAAATGAACAAAAGAAAGAATGTGTATTTTCTCCTTCCATATCTTTGAAAAACCTGCACTATTTATTCATAAGTTTGGAAAAGACTACTTTACATGCTATCTACCAAAATATGCATATACGTGCGCACACATGCCGATGGACAAAGAGCATTAACAGATAGCAAGCAACAACAGAAAACCAGTATTATTACCTTTTGATGAGTCGGATGAGATCAAAGACTAACAACATAATTTGCTAAAATATTAAATGAATACATTATTTTCCTCACAAAATGACCAGCAAAAGTCAAATCACACAGCATTCTGATTGTTTAGTCTCAAGTTGATACAACCGAATCAGATTTTAAACAAACATAGCTTTCCTGATCAAGCGTATCACTCTAATCCATTAAAGAAGTGTAAATGGAAAAGGAGACAAGGATGTAAAATTGAACTCTTTGAGGCACTAGAATATTAGAAGATGCATTGTGTGGAATAAATTCAAGTAGTACTTGAACTTTTGAAGACACAGAAAAAAGTAGCTAATGTCAGTGTGTTTCACTTTGCAGCAGCAGCAGAAAGAACAGAATAGATGTATTTGAATATGTGATAGAACACAAGGACTGGAATCAAACACTTACTTGGGCACCACGAAGAACTGCCTCTGCACATTTTCGGCTTACAATCACCTCCTTTGGCGGTTTACCTTCCTTGTATCCATAATCAATAGCATGTGGCCCTGAACCTTTAATAAAAACTACATAATCTAGCCCAGGAAACTGACATTTTGAGATACTTTCTATAGGCCAAGTACACTCCGTACTTCCACTAAACTCTAACCGCTTCTCATCACTACCATTTTCTCGCCTTCTTTCCCTCAAAATTTTCAAAAGCTTCTCAATAACATTATCACTCGTCGACTTAAGCGTATTAACACGAATGCAAGAGTAACAAGATGGCCGCCTAAATAAACCATAGAGTACAATCACATAATCAGAAAATACAATCTCAATTGCGGAAATGGAGACAATAGCATAGCTGAAACAGAACATACGTGAGGGCAGTGGAGATGCGAGCAAAGTGTTCAGCTCCATAAGCTTTGGTGAAGTAGTCTTCCACCTCGGGATTCCATCGCAAGCTTGGGTTGAAGCTGTAATGCGCTTCCTGTTCCATCTGTACGCATAAATAAATGCAGAAACGATCAAATAAATGCATATACAGGCACATATAGGTACAGTGATCGCTGTAACTGTACGGGGAGGAGGAGAGTACCTGATGAGTGGTGGAGAGAGACGACGAGGTTCGCCGGAAGGTTTTGAGGAAATGCCTCCCTCTTTGCATTCAATTCGAAAAGGGGGAGGAGTGTGGCGGAATTTGAATGCCGCGGCGTCGCAAGCTATATATAGATGTACCATCCGACTGTTACTGAGACAATTGTAGCTGATGGCCCAAATGGAAAGTTCGGGCCTGGACCGGTATGAAAAATACTCGGTACCGTATTTAACTATACTTGTATATTTTCAAGGACTATACTTGTGATCCGCAAATTATTCTGTGCATTCGAATTGCACCATGCGCTGGTGCATACGATGCAAAACGATGTCGTTTTGGTTAAAAAACGCGCGTCCCACTTAAAAAAGAAATCAGATTCGAGATTCGATTTCCAGTAATAGCATTTTTATATATCCATAAATTCATAATTATATATCCATAAATTCATAACTATATATCTACAAATTCATAACTATATATCCACAGTGAATGAATGAAGTAAAAATCCACAATGAATGAACTAAATATCCACAATGATTGAACTAAATATCCATAATGAATGAACTAAATATCCATAAATTCATAACTATATATCCACAAATTCACAATTATATATCCATAGTGAATGAATGAAGTAAATATCTACAATGAATGAACTAAATATCCACAACGAATGAACTAAATATCCAGAAATTCATAACTATATATCCACAATAATGTTATTGTCGAGAATCGAACCTGAATTTTTTTTTTAAGTGGGACGCGCGTTTTTAGTCAAAACGACGTCGTTTTGCGTCGTATGCACCATGCGCATGGTGCATTCGGTTGCACAACATAACTATTGACTTGTGATCAAATTGCTTCCTTATGTGAGAGATTGTGGGTTCAAGCGCTTGAACATAACAACAGAGTCATTAGTATTATAAAAAATAAAATAAAATAAAATAAAAATATACTTGTATATTTAAAGATTATTATTATTATTATTATTATTATTATTATTATCTTTTGCAGATGATGATAGAAACTTGTCGTCACTATTAGGGCTACTACGTAAATTTTATTATTTGTAATAACTCGCAAACTATACATAAGACGTAAATTGTACTAAAGATCCTTGACAATAACAATCTACATGTTATAATATAATAAAAATATTGTTTCAATAAGAGTGTAGAATATGGGATATGGTATAATGTTTAAGATTGTCACTAGAGTTAACATTCTATATAATAATTTTGTAGTGTCAAGCACCTTGTGCTCATATGGCATGTAGTGACCTCTCTCATATGGGAGGTCATGAGATCGAGCATCAGTGGAACAATCTAATAGAGTCAGTGGCATTCAAAAAAAAAAAAAAACTTCCTTGTCAATATTAAGCAGTACATCAAAATCACATATTGATTTCTCACATAATTGTCAAATTATATATTCTCTTTATCAAAAAGTTGTTTATAACTAATTAATACTTATGTGTTGTGAATTGTTTCCTTTTAACTCGTGGCGGTCCCTGGTGAAACGGAGTACAGTACAATAAACAAGAGAGACAAAGAGCATGAAAAGAAAAGAGACAATGTAATTATACATACATATGGACATTGTAAATTCTAGCTAGTGCCATAAAAGCTAGCTAGCCATATATTCTTACATTCAATCTCCTCAACCAAACAGAATGAACAATCATGTGAAAAACATCGTATCTCTTGGGAGCATCATTCACAACAAAATGCCGTCTAGCTTGCCTAACGTTTTCCCGCATCGCTGCATACCTGTCTTGGGATACTCCCAACAAGATGTTCTTCAACTCCGGCAGCTCCTCAACGGAAACCGAGATCGAGAATTTGTCCCAATCGAGGACGTCGCTGAACGGCAAGATGTAATGCTGCGAGATCAAAACGGGAACGCACTCGGCGTAGATCGCCTCCACGATTCTCGGACTGGCAACCTCAAATCCGCTGGGACACAGGCAAAACTTGCTCTTCCCCACCATCTCCTCGTACGATGTTCCCTCCGGCACCTTCTCGTACACTTTAATGTCTTCGTCTTTTCCTCTCCAGTGTCGAAAGAGAGCAGGCCTTATGCGCCCGTGCAGCCCACCTGCGAAGAATGCTAAGATTGTTCGTTCTGAGTAAGGTAGTCCTCCAATTGCTCCGATAATACCTGTCACAATTATATCACTCAAAACCAAGTAATATGCCTAAGAGCATCCATAATAATTTTTATTTTTTTGAGTAGTTTTTGAGAAATTTTTGTAAGTGTGATTCGAAAAGAGAAAAAAGAAAATTAAAAATAAAACAAAGCTAATTTCAACAATATATATATATATATATATATATATATATATATATATATATAAACAGTGACGCAGTGCACGCGCCTACTAGGCAGGGTTGTGACAGCCACGCGTAGGCTGCCTGAATGATACATTTCTGCAAAAAACCACCTCCTTGCAAGAGGAACTTCTTCCCTCTCTCTCCTCTGATCCATTGCATGTTGGCTATTTTACTCTCAAAAAACGTAAAAGATTTACTGATGTAGTTGCTCGTCTAAATCATAGTGTCTAGAAAAAAGTGACAACCCTCACAAGATAGTTATGGCAGATGGTGAAATGATGCGTAGTCATGGTAAAATAATATTATATGATATAACAAATTAAACGTCCACAATATAATAATTAATCTTTCAATAATACCTCCATTCTTCAGATTGATCTCCGGAATGGGAACATCTTTCTTGGGATTGAAAAACTCCGATGTATTCGCATTGCACAAGGCACGAATTGCAGAGAAGTACAAGCCATGCACATACCAAGTTGAACGTGGACCCTACAACGTATCAGAAAAATCATCATATAGCATCCTCATTATGCATAGTTTTTGAAGATTTTTTGAATGTCACTAGGAGAGAGAAGAGAATGAAGGAAAAAAAAAAAAAAAAAAAAAAAAAAAAAACAGCAAAGGAAAAAGCGTGCCCGCCCCCGGCTGGGCGCTTCTAGTGGGCATGAGCATTTTTGTTTTTGTTTTTCTATTTTTTTTTAATTTTTTGGTGGGACCCACTATTACTGCGCTTTTAGTACGCAAAAAAAAGACCCTGAGACCTTCTCCTGTATGATATATATAAGAATAGTTGTTTATTCCATACATACTCCAGGATAGTAACTGCAGGATTCCCTCTTCATCCAAATAAAATCCATATATAATGTAGCAAGAAAATAAGGTTATACATCACCATCTAAGATAGCTTAGCTTAGGTAGTTACCCAGTCATGGCAAGAAAGCATGAAGTGATCAGCAGCAAGGCTTCTATTCCAAAAAGCATATTTAGTGGAGATGATACGAACATAATCACCAATCACTCGCTCCAATACAGCTTTGTCTCGAACAATTGGATCGAAAAGCTGTTCGATAATCATGACGACGCTGAAAGGGAGGAAGAATGCATGAGCTTCGTCAGGGTTGTGAGTTCGGAATCGAGTACTTTTGCGTTCTATTTGATTGAGGAAGACCCCTTCCAGGGAGTATATGTCCTTGCAAGGGCCTAAGTGAAACAATGGAGGCTCACCCTCCTCATAAACATATATCTTGAATATACTTTCCATTAGTGAATAACTCCTGCATTATATTGTATAGGTAAATAAAAGTGATCATATAATATTTTGTATACTATGTACACCATATTATATCAAGGACCGAACCTTGTGGTTCAATGGTACCAAGCTGAACTCTCATATGATATGTAAAAGCACTCTTACTATGGATGCATTTTTAAAGTTGCAAATTTTGAGTGCTATTTTCTATGTCATTCGAGGCACTTTATAGTTTAGGTCGATACAAATGAACACTTTTACAATAAAATATGTTTTTACGTGAGCTGACCCTTATATATAAATATAGACACATATTTTGAGAGTTAAAACATGTTATTCATGAACATACTATATTTAGTTCAACCCAAATAACATATATAATTATAGTGGGTATAAAAGGTATTGTCGTATTGGTGTAGGTTAATATTTTAAATTTGTAATGAAACTATACACTTAATGCATTAAATTAAATAATACTACTTTTATAATAATTCATATAATTTTGAATCACAAACTTAAGGCTCTCATGGATCTTACCCTAAAGACTCGGTGAATAAAGTAAATTGAAAGATGTGCAGTGCATCAACTTATCTATAGACCCCAATTAAATACTTGTACACTGATACCCACAAAACGTTATATAAATATATCCTATAATTCATATGATTATATGTGTGCATGTGATATGTACCTTTGGAAAGCATATGCATTCCTATATATGTCCCCACCAAGAACAAAATTATCATCCTCGTCTTGTACAACGTCCGATCCATTGTTGCCATTAACAATAGCATCTTTTATGAGAGCTCTAGCTCTAGAGAGTTCAGTTTCAATCCTCTCCAATTTCTTATCCTTCTCTTTGCCTCTTCTCAACTCACTTTCCACCTTCAATTCTTCTACCATTTTCGCCACTGCATTTTGCATTTTCGCCACGGCACTGCCCTTTTGCATTCTCACATTCTGCACTAAACAACGTAACCAAAAACTAATTAAAATTAAAAGAAGTAAAACTAAACCCCACAATATAATCGATTATTAGATTAGGGGTGCAAAAAAGTCAAACCAGACAGCTTCGAATTTGAGTTCGAAATAATTATAATGGATCAAGTTTAAAAATTTAGGTTTTTTTTTTTTTTTTTTTTTTTTTTTTTTTTAAGGTTACGTTGGAGTTTGACTGCTGGATAACTTTTATAAGGCTCGAACTCGGTTTGATTAGCTCAAACTGAACTCGTCCATTATGCTTTGCCTCAAATTCGGCTAGCTAATTTTTATAAGCCTCAAGTTTCGTTTAATGGCCTCAAATTGTGCTTGAATTTTTGTCAATTACATTTTTACTATAAGAAAAAATCAAAATACTAACAAATTTTTAAATCAACTTAAATATTTAGCTTTTACCAACAAATTATTTTTATTAGTAAATTTGTTACTCCGTATTTCTTATAGTGTTTGGCTCAAATTCAACTCACTAATATAACTAACCAGGTTGAAGTTATTTTTAATTCAATTTTTCATAATATTAAGTTTAGTATTAGTATATGAAATTTATATATTTAGAAATTACATTAAAAATACTATTAAACAAAAAAAAAATAAAAATTACCAAATAAAAATAAGCGACTAATGAATAATAAGCCTGACATATAAAATGGGACAGAGGAGGAAATATATATATTATAATGAGTTAATACCCAAAATCGTCCTCGACTATAGTGGTTTTTCTCAATTTCGTCCTAAACGACTTTGGTGACCTAATATCGTCCCAGACTTTTGTGTTTTGCTCAATTTAGTCCCAGACTTTTGTGATTTTGCTCAATTTAGTCCCTCATTTGTTATTCTGTCCATTTGGTGTTAAATAAATAGACAATTCCGTAATTTTAATGTTGGCATCTCTTTACTCATAGACATGTGAACTGCAAAATCTTTTTTTTTTTACGAATTACTCCTAAAACTGCGAATATAAAATTTGATTTGCAGGTCCGGGAGTAATTCGTACAAGAAAGATGAATTTCGCACTTCACAAGTTGAAAGTAAAGAGAGATCAATATTGACATTACTGAATTGTCCCTTTATTTAACACCAATTTGACGGAATAACAAATGGAGGACTAAATTGAGCGAAACACAAAAGTCTGGGACGATATTAGGTTACCAAAGTCGTTTAGGACGAAATTGAGAAAAACCACTATAGTCGAGGACGATTTTGGGTATTAACTAATATTATAATGTATTGATTAGCACTGATGTCTCTTGATTATAATACTTTTTTTTTTTTGAAATACTCTTGATTATAATACAAAAGTGAATGATTTTTTTTTTTTTTTGACTAGTATTAAATACAATTCCAATTTTTTAAAAAATTGTATCTAAAGTAAGAGTTGAAAATCGACACCCCCACACACGATGACACGAAGGAAAAAAAAAAAAAAAAAAAAAAAAAACTTGTAATTACATAACGTACATTGAAAGTGGGATAAAAAGCAGTGTTGGGGTGTGGCCGAGGTTGAGTACGGATGAGAGCGAAGGGAGAGACGACGGTGGAGAACGACGGCGTCCACGACGGCCACCACGAGGAGGACGGAAGATGAAACAAACCACCGCCATCATCAATGTTCTGCTGCGCAATCAGGGCAAAAAGGAGTAGCAGAGACGAGGAAGCGAAAATGGTAACGTACAGATTATTTATTCTGCTACAAAACTGCCTCATCTCTCTTTTTCTCTTTCTCGGATCTGTGTCTGAGTTTCTCCTCGTTTTCTGTCGGGTGGGAATGAAATGGCGACGCCACAGCGTGGCTCCAAGTGTCGGTGGGTTGGATTGAAGAGTTTAAGGTTGTCGTTCGATGCCCCCATTATCTAGGAAAAGGTCAAAGGCTTATGTGTATATATGCATGCATTCAAACGAAACAAAGACCAAAAACAATATGTTGACACATGCGATATGATATTTTTTTTAAATAACTTTGTCGTATTTAAAGGTGTTGGGGACATTTAAAGAGTAGGCTTTGTCCCACATCGCTTATCTACGTTTCTGTCTCCCACTATTTAAATTACCACTTATTTTAAAAGGCTTGAAGTATTATAAAGAGGGAACAAGGGGAGATCCCGCGCGGTATGGTGGGGTCAAAGTTTTGGTAGTTGGTCCGCACTTCTTTTAACTCCTAATTTTAAGGAAGTTTGACCACCTTGTCCGCACACTATGTACAGAAACGTGAGGTGTGTGTGGATGATTAGTGGAGATCCTTCTCTTGCTCTCCCTCTTTGTAGGACTCATTTGGCTTGTAATGGAGGAGTGGTTTGCATACAACTAGTATATAAACCCACTGCTTCATAACATCAAGGGCACTGAAAGAAGAGATTACCTGAGAATTCTTAAAATACATGTTCTTGTGATTCTGTGTTTTCCTGTCGAAAGCAGCGATACCCTGGTCGCAAATGCTTTTAAGGAAGTGTATATCATACACGACACAGATATAATCATAGCAAAATTCTATACAACCTGTTCGAATTTCTTTCTGGTTTGTTCGCACAGCAGCATCGTCGCACATCCGTTCTTTGAAGCAGCGATTCCATTACAAACCAAAGCTGCCTAACATTTTATTATTGTTGGTTTGTGAAACCAAAGCTGCCTAACTTTTTATTATTGTTGGTTTGTGAAACCAAAGCTGCCTAACATTTATTATTGTTGCTTTGTGAAACCAAAGCTGCCTAACATTTATTATTGTTGCTTTGTGAAACCAAAGCTGCCTAACATTATTGTTATTGTTGATTTTCGAACCTGCTGCGATTATTATTATTATTGCTGTTGTTCAAACTGAAGCTGCTGCGCATCTTGTTACAATTCCTCAACAGTTAAAAGCATTTGATCAGCTATGTCGCAGTCGACGAACAACAACTCTGATGTTGCTCCCATTGAACCTCTCACGGGGGGTTTAAACTACAAGAGATGGGCTGGTAAGGTCTTGATGCTTCTGGAGTCCAAAGATGTGGACTATGTCATTTTTGAAGATCCTGAGAAGCCTGCTGAGGTTGTGGTGCAGTCCACTGAGAAAACTGCTACAACCACGGAAACGCAAGCCACTTCAGCAGACTCAACTGCTGCAAAGTCGACTCCAGAGCAGTCGTCCACGACTCTCCAAGCATCTCGTACAAAATACGAGAAAGACAACAAAACTGCATGCGCGTTAATTCTCCAACGGGTGAGTAATCCACTTTTTGATATGTTTTCAGTGCATAAGTCTGCAAAAATGATCTGGGGGATGATGAAAGAAAAATATGGCGTTGATGACGTTGGAAGACGAAAATATGCTGTGAATCGCTGGCTACACTTCAAAATGACGGATGCCAAGCCGATTACAGAACAGGTACACGACTTTGAAAACTTGGTGGCTGATATGACATCTGAAGGGGCTGTGGTTAATGATGCCTTTTTGACCGACGCTTTGGTTGATAAACTACCTGACTCGTGGCTGGACTTCAAGAACAAGTCGAAACATGAACTCAAGAATCACACCCTGCAACAACTAATCCACACAATCAATATAGAGGAAGAAAATCGCCTGGTTCAAAAATCTGGTAATTTTTCTGACAATATTAATGCTAATGTAGTTGAAATGGGTGGGAGTTCTAACAGGTCAAAGCCTGGGGAAGGTGCCAGAAACCAAAAGAAAGGCTCAAAACCAAACAATAATAACCGTGTCAAAAACGGTAAAATTCAGAAAAAAGGGAAAAACAACCCAGAATGTTACGTTTGTGGAAAACGTGGGCACAAAGCCAAATACTGCTATCACAGGAAAGGCTCAACAAACCAAACTGGTCAAAAGCCAAGCAATGAAGGACAACAACACCAAGCTAACATGGTGGAAAATCCAGAAGGTACCGAAATGGTAGCAGCTGTAATAACTGAAGCAAACATGGTAGGAGATCCAGATGAGTGGGTTGTGGACACGGGAGCATCCCGTCATTTCTGCAACAACAAGGACCTGTTCAAGGTGCTCGAGCTCAACACCGGGGATGAACAAGTTTTTATGGGAAACTCCAGTATCGCTAAGGTAAGTGGTAGAGGGAAAATTGAGTTAATGCTTTATTCTGGAAAGCTTCTGTTATTGCAAAATGTGCTATATGTCCCTTCCCTGCGTAGAAACCTTATTTCCGGAGGCCTATTGAATAAGGCTGGAATAAAAATGGTGTTCGAGTCTGACCGTTTGGTTCTGACTCACTGTGGGAAATACCTGGGAAAGGGATATTTTCGTGCTGGCCTTTTTGTGTTAGATGCCTCTGTAGCTAGAAATCAAGTTGCTAGAGTAGGCTCTACTAAATGTGATCTCATTTCAAACAATGTTGCCAACAATAAAGCTTCCTCTTCTGCTTATATAGTTGTTTCTTTAAATCTTTGGCATGATAGATTAGGACACGTTGGCACCAAATGTTTAAACAGGCTAAAGAGCATGAATTTGTTGCCAAAATTGTCAAGTGAAGCATGCACACAATGTGAAATTTGTGTTGAATCAAAATTTGCTAGAAATTCATTCTCAACAGTATGTAATAGAAAAACATCAATTTTAGAACTGATTCACTCGGATTTAGCCGATTTCAAAACCACTGAAAGTAAAGGTGGAAAACGTTACTACATTACGTTTATTGATGATTTTTCGCGTTTCACAAAACTTTATCTATTGAGATCAAAAGACGAAGCTGAACAGAAATTTGTGGTTTTTAAAAATGAAGTAGAAAACCAATTAGACAAAAAGATAAAAAGGCTTCGTTCTGATAGAGGGGGAGAATATGAATCAAATTCTCTTAAAACTCTATGTGAAAGTTCTGGCATTATACATGAAGTTACTGCACCGTACACTCCCCAACAAAATGGCATTGCTGAGAGAAAAAACCGAACTCTCAAAGAGATGATTAATGCAATGCTAATCAGTTCAGGTGCTCCGGACTCTTTGTGGGGGGAAGCTGCTATAACAGCAAACCACATTCTAAATAGAGTACCGCACAAAGGGTTTGATAAAACACCCTATGAACTTTGGAAGGGGCATGCCCCAAACCTTAGTTACCTAAGAGTATGGGGCTGCTTAGCAAAAGTAGGTCTACCGTCCTTCAAAAGGCCCAACTTGGGACCTAAAACGACGGATGCCATCTTTGTTGGGTATGCTGAGAACAGTGCTGCATATAGATTCATGTACTTAGAAAATCGTACAATGTGTGAAGCTAGAGATGGTATTTTCTTTGAAACTGTTTTTCTTATGAAATCACCTTATCCCGCATCTGGTGTTAGCCTTCAACAGAATTCTACGGACTCTTTTCCGAGTTTCTCAAACCCTACTGAGGAACCAAGAAGGAGTAAAAGAGCTAGAATAGAGAAAAATTTTGGTTCTGAGTTCATAACATACTTAACAGAATTGAAAGACATAAATGAGATTTGTGACCAGTTCATATGTCAATTGGTCCTAGAGGAAGAACCAAAAACCTTTCAAGAAGCTATGCGCTCAGTAGATTCCACATTATGGAAAGAGGCTGTCAAAAATGAATTAGACTCCATACAGTCTAATCACACTTGGGAGTTAGTGAATCTACCAAGAGGTTGCAAATCTATCGGTTGCAAATGGATCTTTAAAAGGAAATTGAGACCAGATGGCTCAATTGAAAGGTTTAAAGCCAGACTAGTGGCAAAAGGCTACACACAGAAATTCGGTGAGGACTATTTCTTTACTTACTCACCGGTAACTAAAATAGCAACTATTCGTGTTCTATTTGCTTTAGCATCTCTACACAGGTTGTTGGTTCACCAGATGGATGTAAAAACTGCGTTTCTCAATGGTGAACTCGAAGAAGAAATTTATATGGAACAACCTCGCGGATGCGTAGATCCTGGTCAAGAAGGGAAAGTATGCAGACTCAAGAGATCTCTGTATGGCTTGAAACAAGCCCCCAAGCAGTGGTATGAAAAATTTCATAAAACTTTAGTAGACCTGGGTTATACTACTAACCGGTCAGATGCCTGCTTATATACTAAAGAGAGCAAGTCTAGCATTGTGATCATATGTCTCTATGTAGATGACATGTTAATCTTTAGTCCTAATATTGAGACTATAAAAGACACGAAAAGGAATCTATGTGAAAAGTTTGACATGAAAGATCTAGGGGAGGCAGATGTGATACTTGGGATAAAAGTCACAAAAACCAAGGAGGGTTACCTCTTATCTCAAGGTCATTATACGGAGAAACTTCTAAAGAAGTTTGGGAGTTATGATGTAACTCCAGCCAAAACCCCCTATGATCCCAGTGTAAAATTGTCAAAAAACATAGAGAATAGTGTGTCGCAAGAAGAGTATGCAAAAATAATCGGTAGTCTGATGTTCCTCATGAACTACACTAGACCCGACATTGCATACACAGTAAATAAACTCAGTCGCTATACCCACAACCCGAGTGACTTACATTGGGATGCACTAAAACGGGTACTAAGATACCTAGGAGGCACAGTAGATTGGGGTCTAGACTATAAAAGGTCTCCAGCTGTGTTAGAAGGGTATTGCGATGCGAACTGGGTAAATGGTGGCGATGATGCAAGCTCAACAAGTGGATATGTATTCACTATGTGTGGAGCCGCTGTCTCATGGAAGTCATCAAAACAATCGTGCATTGCCAGATCAACGATGGAAGCTGAATTTATAGCTTTAGATCTAGCAAGCCAGGAAGCAGAGTGGCTGAGAAACCTACTGGCAGACGTGCCATTGTGGGGGTGTCCGGCACCTGCAGTTCCAATACACTGTGACTCACAAACTGCCATTTGTGTTGCGCAAAACAGTGTCTATAATGGCAAAAGAAGACACATACGAGTCAGACATGAGTCTGTGAGGCA